GTTTAGAATCCTTCTCCGCAAGGTTAGCCTATTCCGAACATCGAGGATCGCATCAAGAATAGTAAAGGATGTGTGAGAACCCTTTTGCGCCCAACGCCTACGTCTTTTATGATCCTCCATCGTTCCTTTCAACGTGTTAATAAAACGCTGTGATATAGAGCTTGATAATTAATCGCCCCGTCTGAATGAAGTGTCGCAAGTCGGCTCCTAAGGGTGCTTCTGTCAATTCAGCAGACGGCTAAGGGACACTAGTCACTAGTTAGGACTCTGAGCCACAAGCCCCTGGCAAGGCTTTGTCACTTGCGGTAGAAACACCCGTACCAAAAATTGCCCCATGCCATATAGCATATTGGATTCTATAAAGTCCCGGCAGGGCATGATCTCCCTGGGTTCTAGCGCATTGAAACTGTTTTCCCTGATAGGGGGTGGGGGTGGACATCTACCCCTGTGGGGATTTACGGAGTGGGAATGGTTTTGCGCCTCATGCAGTAAGGTCATTTCCAACAATAGCACGACCTTGGGCTTGTTATACCATGTTGTATTTGGATTTTGCGAATGATTGTAATCATCAGAAGCACGGATTCGTTCACGCCGGCGTGGAGACTGATCCCAGCTCCTTCAGCCTCACAGGCCTCTTGTGATGTTTTTTGACTCGGAACTCGGAACACATATTCGCGCTGGATATTGAAGATTCACAAACTCTAATGCGCCATCGTATCTCTCTAGCAAACTGTAGAAACATCGTATAAGAGATCGGCCTTGAAGCAATTTACGGGCGCTAGAGTCGATGGTTGTCAGCTTCATCTATCCACCGCAAGATACTCTCAACGCTAAGCTCGCGATCCTTAGGCTCCTCTACTGGGTCGTCAAGCTCGCTTTCAAGAAAAGGATCGATAATCCATTGGTGTTGCTGGAGTCGACGAATCATTTCAATGTCGCTCGTTCCATCATCAAGCCATATGCCATCATCATAGCTTCTATGCCAATTGAACAAACGAGATGTTGCAACCCATGACTGTTCATCAGCCGCATTTTGCTCAGCGTAGGAAACACTTGATAGTTAGTATATAGAGCGGAAATGCAGCTGATATCCCCGGACTTACTCTTTAGAATGATCTGTAGATGAAGGGTGATACACCCTCTGAACCTGGGACTGACGAATTTGGTACGGTTCGGTCGCGGGGACCCTCTTTCCAGAACTCAGAAACCAGCATGTGGACCATGAGATAGGTCTATGCATATGTCCTAAATGTTGTCGTATTTCAAGACTGACATTCTCGACAAAAGTTGAGCCGAAAGGAGGTGCAGGTGACCAGGGCACCGATGTGCCTGACCGGCAATAGAACGAAGTTTGAAACTCTTCTGTCCGAGTAACGACTTTCTTGTTTACTTCACTCGAGCAATACTCCATCTGCAGAAAGGATTGAGTAGTATCTGTCCAAAAGGCGGACACAAGACATATAGGCGGTAGGGTATACAGACTCATGTTCAGAAGCGAGTCTACTTGACCTCCACGAATGGAAGCAGTCCAGAAATGGCATAGAGACGGGTTCTTATATGTAATCGCTTTGAGGAGCTGTTGGTTATCGATCTTGTCCACCGTTGAGAGGGCTTTCCTCACACCCAGAGATGCAGCTCCCATGAAATTACAGGGAATAGACGGGTCGAAAAAGGCACTGCATATTAACGAGTCCAAAGCATCCTGCGTGGAGCTTAAAGTGAGAAATCTATCAATAGATTTGTAAAGTTCGTGAAAGACTGCGTCTTTTGCTCTTGGTGGATAGGCAGCAGAAGCAGTCGGGGCTGCTACAGCAGGAGCGAGGATAGGCGAAGGTGTGTTCCGTGAGGTCAATAGTAAAACAGACGCAAGACCGGTGGTCAATTCCAGTTCCAGGCCTTCCGATATGCAGAAGTCCACAAGAATATCAAAGGCCAGAGACGAATTTGGTGTGACTGGCACCCAATTGCTTCATAAACCAGTTAGTCCATAACAACGAATATCGACTGACATTTCAGATTTACCGGTCCTTTCTAGTCCCCTCACTTGCCATCATCCATGGAGAACAGAATTTTGCGGTTTCTTTCTTCACTAGTGCTCGCCAGCAGCCTTGCGTGACAAGATGCCAGAAAGAGTCCTCAATCTGCATACCATTTTCATGGAGTATCTGGCTGTTCCAACCTGCTCGTTGGAAAATTTCTGACCAGCGGCAGGAGACGATGTAGGACCAAGCTAAGACGATATTTGTGAAATACCCAGAGCGAAAGGCTTTGGTGTGTATAGGAAGAACTGGTTGTAATTGCGTCTCAGCCTTCAGCTTGTAGACGACAGGCTTTGGAGATCCGAGGCATTGAAGATAATCAATCAGCTTGTAAGGTTGATCGCAGTCTGGATCGTCTGTTGAGTGTATCTGTAGAGAGGATCTAAGCATAAGAAATGTTCTTTGTCTCCCTGCAATATGGACATCGTCTGGGAGGCAGGATAGAAACGGGGGGACATGTTTGAGAAGGTCCAAGAAGGCATCTAAGTAGAATGGGAAAGAGAGTGTATGATTCAAAAGCATTGAGGTCGCATTGCTCCATTCATCGAACTTGGACTGACAGCAATGATGGAACTCTGCTGTTGAGGGACAAATCCCGTCCCCAGGAGACCAGGTTACATCAAATTCGCTGTCGCTTTCATCGCTAGTGTCAGAACGATACTTATTCTGAGGGCTCATATAATCTCGCTTCTCATTGGCATCAGTGATTGATGGGCCACCTTTCATAGTGAACGTCAACTTTCAGGTCACCCTGCCATATAGGTACATGTAGTAATCTAGACCATGACTAGTAGCTGTTGCCATGACACAGGCGGTGAGGGTGACAGTGAATGGTAAAAGATAAACCTGTCAAACCCCTGCTGAAGGGATGCACTATGTCAGCTATCAAAACATTTCTCTCATCGTTCATCCATTTCGAAGCAATATTCTCTATCAGATTTGTTAGAGTTGATGGTTCTGGAAAGATGTGCGAAGTTCATGGCCGAGAAACCATCGTCTCACTTACAATCAAGAATGGAGTCACATGACAATACCAGTATTTAGTAGCAACAGTGAGCATTACGGCTGAGGTAACGCATAGTGTCTGTCCTAAACTATATTACTAGGAGCACTCCATATGTTCAGCAATATTGGCATCCACGTGTGGATGGAGATGCATCAAGGCCCGAGCCCCTAAGATCGGTACCCCGGGGTATCTTCCACCACTGATAGTCCTGCAGTGGGATCTGGACATGCATATACTAGTATACTGTTTTCGTAGTTGCAGCGTGATATGGCGATGAAACCGAAAAGTGAGAGAGCTCTACTCCCGTTTAGTACTACAACTGGCATAGGGAATTACTTAAGAGCACTGCAGTGTGTACATGTGGAGCCATTGAAGTGTCAGATAGTAGTATCTCCATGAAGCTTATTTATATTTACCAGAATGAAAGCTGCTAGTGCTGACACGATTATTCGACGGATAACGAATGTCACTCTGTAGTTGTCCTTATAGTAGATAGACACGTCTTCCCACATGTCAGAGATTCTACAACACCACACAATATTCTGAAGTACTATCTTTAGAGTTCTATGGAGAGTACCCATGGGTATTCAATGTTGTGAATAGGAGGGAGCAGAAGCTTGACTAATAGCTGAGTCATGATTCGCGGGGACTTATCGGTGACGTCAGTTATGATTGGCGGCCTCAGGCGCGCCGTGGGGGGGAAGTGGCATGATCGATGCAGGATTGCTTCGTGTTTCTCTCCCCTTTAATCTCCCCTCCTACGTTGTAACAATGGAATGGTCTAGGTAGATACTCAGCTGCCCCCTGACCACCTTAGGCTCGTGCTCAATGTGTACGTACACACAAATAGTGACATCTATTGTCATGGACCAACCGCAGTCACTCAACCAGTCTGTTCTTCACTCATACGTCAAAAACCACACACCGCCAGGCCGGATACTCAAGTCCCGCCATCAGACAAGCGAGTGACCAGACCTTAAACTCCAGCGGGCCGGGACCACAGTTTTGGGGGGGAGTTGCAGCCTGGCACGCCATGCCCAACCGCGCCTGAGCAACAACTAGACTACTAGTCTAGTCTACTACAGTACTACTAACCAACTACCGCGATCGCCGCCCGCGTGCCTGGCCGGTCCGTCATTGAGCCCCGCTGTTTCCTTCGGCCGGAAATCGCGATCAGCTGCCCCTCGATGGCGTGAGTTCTCACCTTCACTCCTGTGAGTCAGTTCAACAGTGTTGAGACTGGATCATCAAGGCCCTTTCGGTCAATGCGACGGTACATCAGTGGGTGCCCACATAACTCATGTGGTCCATGCATCATCCATTGTGGTAGGAATGCAGGAGACAGGTATGGAGTGATGTGTATGAACATGAACATCGACTAGTCTACATAGACACTAGAATCGACAACTGCCTGGCATGCTATCCGATCTTCAGCTGATGGCTACATGATTCGGGACCGTTTTTCCGCGCGCTTTTCGTTTATCCCTCAAGGTTCTCAAGGCCCAAAACTCAAGTGTCATCATCAATCAGCATTAGTTGAGGGACTAGCCTAGCATCATCATGGGCCTGTGGGCCTTTTTGGACCCCCGCAAGACAACCACCCCCCCACAGGGTAACACGGTCCGTTCGGCTGAGGTGTAGGCTGATCCTCCATTTGCCTCTAACAAGCCTTGATAGAGTCGTATACCATAATTATTATAAGTAGGTCCGTATTGCCGCACAGCAGTTGTGCAACCTTTTTATCATTAGTTATTAACCTTTGCCTCTCGGTCCCTGCATTGACCTGAAGTTCTGCAACTAAGAACGCTTACCTGTTGAACTTACTTCCCCCCTTGAAAAAGGCGCCGCTTCCTCCTATCTACTTATTACTTTCCTGGACAACCCACTCTCCTGGTCGAATACTACTTCTGGCAATATTCATAACGCCAGTTCCCTCAACCAAAACACCGTTCACCATGTCTATCGCCATGCAACTCGCCCGCCCAACCATCCGTCACTTTTCCGTCCGCCGTCCTCAGCCAGACACTCGCATTTCTCGCTTCATCACCAGCTCCTGTCTATTCACGGCCGTGGTGCTTCCCTTCGTACCTCCAGCTCTTGAGAGTTCTCGCGAGAAGAACAATGGATACCCCAATCACAACAAGTAAGATCTTCTCTCTGAAACATTCATAATCAAACACCTGACATTAATAATCCATGATAGGCCGCACCCACCGCTATGCTTCCACGCGCGCTAAGCGGAGGTAATCTCTATATCCGATCGGATATAACTGCCACACTACTAGCGGGGCTCATTTCCGAACGACCACCACCCACTCCGGGCGTTAGGAATCTTCTCGATATCGCGCGATTTTTCACTTTTCGCACTGAATCATTTCTTTCGGGATCAACATTTGCTGATCGGTCAAGGCGTAAGGGTGCTAGGCGATTGCTTACATACATACATTCCGTATGAAGGACTCACGCGACATGACTCGGGGCTTTTCTATTTTTCGCAGAGATGCATATCATACCTCTGCTTAAGGCGGGCGGGAGTTTCGATGGCGTTCCTTGCTTTGCTTTTTCTCCTTAACTATGTTGGGATTATCACATGCATAGTTGCATCCTTACCCGTTGAAGAAAGTCTCATGATTGGGGAAGGGATCTGGACAGGTGCCAGCCCGGTTACACCCATCAATGTGGGCGTCTCTCTTTTGGTGGGATTGGTGGATGCTCCACGACCTTCATTCCGGATTGATCGTGGCTATTTTACCTATAGAACAATACCTTATGGCTACTTAATTTCAATCGAACCATTACTGAAATCAACATCTACTCCTTAAAGCACTGCTGTATAGAAAAAGAGTTCATCCCGACCTACGGATCAACTTACTGTAGCTATGCCCCTACGTTAGCAGGGATAACCCCGCCGATCAAGATATTCAAGCAGGTCATACTATACCTAGTTCCTGCAGCTCCAAACACCAAACTATGATACATGAAAATGCCACAACATAGCCTTTTCTTCTTCTCCCCCTTGTTTCACCATCGCCGCCTCCATCTCATATACTATATGTGCAAACTAAATACCCACCAGCCCTACAAGCGGTTTCCCCTTGGAGGCCGGAAAGGCTGCGTAGCCTCATATTTACTCTTTTCCAGCACCCGCTCAGCTTCAGTCTCCGGTTCGTGACGAGTCGGTGCGGGGTCATGGCTAGCTTCAGCACTCGGCGAGCCCACATCATCGGCACGCACTAACTGGGCGCGCTTCAGGCTCGGATCTTCGGTCGGACTAGGAGTCGGGACATTGTTCGGGGCGTTCTGGCGTCGGTGCTCGGCTTCCATCGCAGCCAGCTGCGCCTTGCGCTTCACTTCCGCTTCGAATCGGGTCTGACGGTCGGCGTTGATGGATTTCTTAGCAAAGTAGTAGGCTCCGCCGCCAGCTGTTGTCATTCCAATATTAGTGATTTGGATACATTGATTTGGGTTCAGAGAATGCTTCTTACCGACGCAAAGGGTGCCCCAGCCTATCCTGTTGGGTTGGGTGAGTTTCCGTTAGTATTGTGTGTATTCCCAGTGGTGTGGACGCCTAGCAGGCAGGTGTTCGTTGTAGGCTTCGCTCACCATGTAGATCGGATCTGTTAGATAGTGACGAAGCAAACATTAGCAAGACATCATAGACAAATCTATAAAGGAACTGGAACATACCGTGTTCATTGTGAATGTATTTCTGGCCTCGACGGGTTTGTCTTGACTGAGGTGGACTCGGAGCCGCGGACTCGCAAGAAGCTCCGGACTTTATCTAAGGACTAGACTACGTCAAACCGGCCGGTTCCCTTTAGTGAGTGACATCCAGCCAATCAAAGTGCTGCATTGTCGGATCGCCACTCGCCTTGTTGCCTCAGGCGTGCATTTGTCATTCCCGAGCCTCATCTCATGCTTCTCGTTCTTGATCATCTCCCCTGCCTTTTTCTTGCTCTCAGTCTATCTTCGTCGCGCTTTCACCAGCTTCTGTGCCTCACTGCTTCAGCTGGTCGATTCGGTTCACGACCCCTGGAGCTATCGAGCTGCCGTGTTCCTCTCACGCTCGTCCAGGCGCCGGTAGCCTTTCCGAGCACCCGCGTACATTATTCTCTCACCGTCCCACATCGCATCCTCTTCACCACATTAGACGATCCCCTTCGACTCTAGTCGAATAGGGAAGAGGTTACATACATACATAATGCCCATCAAACGCAAAGCTACGGATAGCGGCCGGTCAAGTAGAGCGTCGAAACGGCCTACACCTGTGCCGGATGTTGGTAGTAGTGATGAATACTCAGACTACGAGGAAGAAGTCAAGGATGATAACCTGAAAGGTAGCGTAGAAGTGGAGTCTCCTGCATATAGGGTCTGGTTGCTGACATCTTCTGCTTACAAGGTGTCTTGGAGAAATTCTCCCTCGAATCCTTTAGCAACAAGAAAAGCGCCGCCGTACAGAGACAGGACCCCGATTTCGGTTACAAGGACTTTTCCTCGCTATCGTTGAAACCCGATCATGCGAACCGCCCGCTCTGGATCGATCCTCTCAAAGGAACTATCACCCTGGAGAGTTTCTCGCCGCTTGCACCCCAGGCGCAGGACTTCCTGACTACTATCGCCGAACCGCTGTCGCGTCCGACCCATTTGCACGAATACCGATTGACGGGAAATAGTTTGTATGCGGCTGTCTCGGTGGGTTTGTTGCCCCAGGATATTATCAACTTTCTGGATCGGTTATCGAAAACGCCGCTTCCGGATACCATTAAGTCGTTCATTCTCGATTTCACGAAATCATACGGAAAGATCAAGGTCGTGCTGAAACATAACCGCTTCTTCGTGGAGAGTACCGATCCGGCGATGTTGCAGATGCTGCTGCAGGATGAGGTTATTGGGTCTCAGAGATTGAAAGGCACGGAGGGCATTATTCAGCAGGCGGCCCCGAAAATGGGCGGCCTGGTCATTCCGGGTACAAAGGATGCAGCGGGTGTTAGGCAGGCTTCGGAGCAGAAGCCGGCGGAAGACGGTGCAGGCGAAGCTCGTAAAGAAGACGATATCCTGCTGGCTATTCGCGACGATGATGACGATGAGGAGGAAGTTCAGGTGCACAGTTTCGAAATCCCCAACGAAGCAGTCGAACCTGTCAAGGCGCGCTGTCAGGCTATGGGCTGTCCAGCGCTGGAGGAGTATGATTTCCGAAATGATGAGATCAATCCCACTTTGGATATCGACTTGAAGCCAGCCGCAAGAATTCGAAGCTACCAAGAAAAGAGTTTGAGTAAGATGTTCGGTAATGGACGTGCGAAGAGTGGAATCATTGTCTTGCCTTGTGGTGCAGGAAAGACGCTGGTGGGTATCACGGCGGGCTGCACAATCAAGAAGGGAACAATTGTCTTGTGTACCAGTTCGATGTCGGTCGTGCAATGGCGTAACGAGTTCTTGCGCTGGTCCAACATCGATCCCGGTGATATTGCCGTGTTCACATCAGACAACAAGGAGAAGTTCCGTCGATCGACTGGTATCATCGTGTCAACTTACTCCATGGTGTCCCAGACGCGTGCTCGGTCGCATGATGCGCAGAAGATGATGGATTGGATCCAGTCACGAGAGTGGGGTCTGATGATTCTTGACGAGGTGCACGTCGTGCCTGCATCGATGTTCCGAAAGGTCACGTCGGCAATTGCGTGTCAGAGTAAATTGGGATTGACGGCAACGCTGTTGCGAGAGGATGACAAGATCAAGGATCTGAACTTCTTGATTGGTCCGAAGTTGTATGAAGCCAACTGGATGGAACTGGCCGAGCAAGGGCACATTGCCAAAGTTCAGTGCGCTGAGGTGTGGTGTCCGATGACGACTGAATTTTACTCCGAATACATGAGAGAGAAGTCACGAAAGGCTGCTCTTCTGTACATCATGAACCCGCGGAAATTCCAAGCCTGCCAGTTCCTGATCGACTACCATGAGAAGCGAGGCGACAAGGTCATTGTCTTTTCCGACAACGTCTATGCTCTGCAACGATATGCACTTAAACTGAACAAGGCCTATATCTACGGTGGTACTCCACAGAATGAGCGCATGCGCATTCTGGAGAACTTCCAGCACAATGAACAAGTTAACACCATCTTCCTTTCCAAGATCGGAGACACGTCGCTCGATCTGCCGGAAGCCACTTGTCTGATCCAGATTTCGTCTCACTACGGTTCTCGTCGTCAGGAAGCCCAACGACTTGGTCGCATTCTGCGAGCCAAGCGTCGTAACGACGAGGGATTCAACGCCTTCTTCTACTCGCTCGTGTCGAAAGACACAGATGAAATGTTCTACTCCTCCAAGCGACAGGCTTTCCTGGTCGACCAGGGCTACGCGTTCAAGGTCATTACTCACCTGCAAGGCATCGAAAACCTGGAGGGTCTGGCGTACGCCACACCCAGCGAACGGCGTGAGCTGCTGCAGGAGGTGATGTTACAGAACGAGACTTCTGCCGAGGTAGAGCACGTCACGGACGACCTCTTCTCAGGACGTTCGGGCGGCCAGCGAAAGGGAGCAGTCAAGCGCAGTGCCGCGACGCTCAGTGGCCTGGCTGGCGGTGAAGACATGGCGTATATTGAGTACAACAAGAGCCGGAACAAGCAGCTGAAGGACAAGGTGGGCCATCACCCGCTGTTCCGGAAACTGGAGCGGGAGCGACTCAAGCGGAAGAAGGAGTTGGAGGATTTTATGCGGTAGTTGTGAAGTTAATACCCAGACCGACACAACATACTATATACGACATACCCAGTTAGATTGGACATGCATTAGTGAAAAGTAATCTCACATACGAATGGAACTTAATGTGCATTCTTAAACAGACTCTTGAACATTAAGCAATGCCATAGAAACACCATCACCCCCTAATCCATCAAGGTACACTCCAGCATCAACTCGACAATCTAATAATAGCTAAAGTCCAGACCCAAAACATAGAGTAAGCAACAGCGCCAAACGCCGAGCCAGAGGCCGAGCCCGAGCTTGACCCCATCATGTTACTAATGCAGCTACCCCAGATCCTGACCACTAACCACAACCCGCCACTCACCAATCACCAGTTACTACTCACTTACCACTTATACTACTACTAGTATTCTGCAGAACTTAATCAACCTCGGATACACTTCCCCAATCACCCAGCCACAATTCCTTGGTTTCAACCCTGTGGAATCAACTAGCTAGATACCCAATCATAATAGATCTGATTAGCCTTTACCCCTCAATCTAAAAGCAACTAGTGAAGAAGAGGAATAGTAACCGTACTTTGTACGGAATACTACCCACCAAGTTAGGGTCCGGCCCATATCAGCATGACGTCGATCCAAATAACCATTTCTCTCTCTCTCTCTCTCGGTTCTCGCGACTCCGACGATCCCGAACCAAGAAATCAAATCCTACCTTACCTTACTTAACTGAGTAGTACCAAGTGACGATAAATACGAGATATCCTACTACGGTAGTAGAACTGACCACTTGGCTGGGTTTGCTGACAAGATCAGACCGCACTGGAACTTTGGTTCAGGCATATTTAAGCTTACCTGACACACGCACACACCCCGTACTGATTGAAACTGGGGTAGAGTACTACGGATGACTCTACGCTACTGCCTTTCTTCATCATCTTCTTTGAGTCGGGCGCTCAGAAAGTCTGCTTTTACCAGTGCTTCTGTATTGCGATTTAGGTCGTCTTCAAATTATAGGGACGGATTCTTACTGCCCAGAATGAATCTATCAACTACTACTACTGCCACTTCTCTACAACGGTCACTTCAGGGCGATGCCCCCATGGCAACGTCTACGAATATCCATCTCTCCCCTGAACATGATCATGGTATCGTATCTCACAACCTGAGCGAGGAGTCAGCGCGCGTGGCGAGTGAGGTTCTCCAGGAGGATATGCGATCCCATCATGTGTTTTTTAATCAGAGTGGGTTTCATAGTATGTCCTCTCCCCTCATTCGCTTCTTATACTGAAGATATGTTATGGCTAATGGTATGGTATAGACCACATCCCCCACCACATCCTAAGTCTATATGCCCTCGGTGCAACACCGGAACAAATCCGCGCCGCATATGACAAGAATAGCAGCTATCAGCGGCCCAAGTTGCCCGTGGATGAGGATGTGGTGAGTCAGATGGGAAAGGCTGAAGGGTTCTTGAAGTACCTGGGACAGGAGAAGCATTATAGTAATTATCTGGAGTTTTTTCAACGTCAGATGAAGGAGAAGGGAGAGGAGAGGGTGTTGGGGGAGTATCTTTTCTCGGATTCCTGGGGTGAGGTGGCTGAGTTGATGTTGGGGAGGTTGTTTGGAGGTATTCTTCCTTGCTCCTTTATTTCTTCCTTTTTCTATCGGTTTGTTTGGTATTAAGGGGGAGTGGTGGCTAACTGGTAATGGTAGGGCTGATCCATCCATTCATTCACTTCGGATTCGGTCTCGAGTTCAACCAGCCTGCTATTGTAGCTGAAGGACTGGCGCAGACGGCTGTTCATGAGGACTGGTATGGCCCGTTGTTCTTCTGGCCCGTGGAAAAGGCAGCCGGAGGTATGGCCAAGCATGGGAAGAAGTCTATGCTGCAGATTCTGGAGGAGATTCGGGCTGATGAGAAGTTGACACGGTCTGCGCAGTATGATGATGGCCAGCGGATGAGGAATGGGGTGCTGAAACGGGCTCCCGATGAGATGATTAAGTATGCGGCGGAGTTTACGGTCTCGGTGGATCAGATTGAGGAGAAGACAGCAGAGATTATCAATACGGTTGGTGAGTTTATTCCTTTTGTTCCCTGGTAACTACTTCTGAGAGGGCATCTGGCAGTGACTAATTGATGTGGATGTAGCATACTTCACCAGTGCCGCACAGCGACCCGATAAGCAGATCAAGTTCGATTTCTTCTACATCCACGGCGTCAATTCCACTATCTTCCTGTCCAAGATTATCCGGTTGCCGTATCTGGATGACGTGACTAAAGCACGGATTCTGGAGTGGACGGGGCGCCTGGATTTGTTGCTCTATGTAGCTTATGGAGCGGCAGATCTGCACCTAGATGAGATTACGAGGTATCCAGCAGCGAAGAGCTGGGAGGAGATCTATGCTTATTGCAACGGCCAGTCAAGTGATGATGGACATTTGCCCAAATTGGTGCGAGCTTTGAAGAATGGTGAGAGGGCATGCCGGCCTTTTGAAGACCGGGCCGAGGAGCTAGGGTTGAAGATTAAGGGAGATATGTGGCTGAAGATTGCGAATATGGGTATGTTCATCCTAAATTCTTCTTATGGATGTGATACAGTTACTAATCGATTGTCTAGTGATGGATTCGACTGGCCAGGATCCCCAGTGGGTCCGCGGAGCGGGTTTTGATGAGGCGTGGAAGGACTTGGAGGAACGTCGATCTCGGCTGTAAGACACGAATCGATAGTGTATCCAGATTGTAGTACGGACTAGCTGTGTGGTTGTAGTATAATAGTATGTCTGTGATAACAAATTCCAACAACTTCATGAAGTGTGTGTGCGGGGAGAGAGAGTAAATACTAGAAAGCACCAGATCAGATGGTATGGGTCACGTGGTGATTGGGAAGCACGAGTGGGGCGATATCCCCAACAATTAATTGATTGGAATCGCGAGAAGCTCTTTCTTCTTCAATCCTTCGCCCATCTTTCTTCTTTTTCTCCCTCCATCTCCCTTGTTCCATTCCTCTACTTTTCTACCTCATTTCTCACCGATAACTCAATCTCTATCTACCCACCCCTGCATTTGCATCCGCATCTGCACCCTCACTATGCCCAGTGACGACACCTCTAACCAGAACCGAAATTCCGCTCCCTCCGATTCCCGCCGATGGCCCGATGACGAGACCGCGTTGGACGCTGTCCGCCGTTTCGCCGACGAACAAGTCTCGTCCGTGCTCCAGTCGGTGATGGGCATCCCCTCCATGTCCTCGCGGCCCTCTCGCGACCACTGGGCCATCTTCGACGAGGAAGCTTTCCGCAGGAGAGACGGCGGCGGCGACACGAAGGGGGACAACCATGCGCCAGGTACAGCGGACAATACCGACCACCACAACCAGCGCCACAACCGCTATCCGGCGCATTCTTGGACTGACTGGGAGGATCAATGGTACGCAGATAACCATCCCAGATGGCGCAGAAGCGACCGAGACAGCATCTTCGACTTTTTCTTCGACCGGGCCTCCTTGTTCGACAGCCCTTTCTCCTCCCACTTCTTCCACCCCTTCCACCGCTCCTTGTTCTCGGATTTCGCTAGCAATTCCTTCGGCTGGCCTTTCTCCTACCTCATCTTTAGCCCATACTCCCCCTTGCACCTTGAACGCCAGAACCAGTACCACTCCCACCATGAAAGGGGTGTCTTTTCGTCGCTCATGTCCTCGTTGAGTCTGTCGTCGGAGAATGAGAACAACAACCTCGCTACGGAGACCCACTGGCGCGAAGCTTTCGAGGACCTTATTCGACTGGAAAATGGCAAACCGATGCTCGACCAGGACACCACTGCGCTGGCGAAGAGGGAGACCCCGAGAGATTGGCTGTACGGTCTGGCGAAACGCGGTAGTTTGGGCGACCAGTGGAAGATTTCCGAAAGCGGAAGAGATGGCCGGTCGAACCCTATGCTCGTTTTCCACAACTACACTTCGGACCGTGGCGATGGCGGTGAAGTAACTCGAGAGATAACCGCAGACGACAGCGAGACCGAGACAATGACGGAACTGGACATGTTCGATCGCTTCTTCGAGGACGCTGCTGCTCGTGAAAGCAAGGCCTTTGCCGATATGTTCGAGAGCCCTATACTGCGCCTGCTGCTGGAGGATAGACGGAGACCTCGCGAGGCCGACAAATGGCTGGAGCCTGTGTCTGACAAGCAGAATGACAACACAGTCCCTGAGAACCAGCAGCAGCAGCAGCAGCAGCAGCTAACCCCAGTGACGGAACCAACTACAACCACAGAACAACCAACCGTGATCTCAACCATGACAAGAACCGAGCGTGTCCGACTCCCAGATGGATCCACCCAGAAGAAGACCGTCTGGACAAAGCGATTCTCCGATGGTCGTGAAGAGAGCAACGAGACGACGGAAGTTCTGAACCCCCCTCATGGACAGAACAGTACAGGAGACTCTTCATCCGCCAATCGGAAGGAGACCGGCTGGTTTTGGAAAGATTAGACAGTACTTAGCTGTCGTTTCACTCTTTTCTTCTGTTATTCCTCATACTATACCTATATGCTCTGATCTTAAGGATCTGCTTCACGTTGTCGTCAATTAGCGCTGATTGTCACTGCTGGCGTTGCTTTCCAAAAGCATTTTTTTATTTCTTTATCAAACACATATTCTGTCTTTTCTTACGATTTCCTATCTGTCTATATCTCACTGATGCCGATACCAATCTACAATTCAAGTTCGATATTTTCCTTCTCTTCAATGTGTTTCTCCCATATTTACAGGTTAATCGTTGCATTACTCTACAGTCTAGGGGTTTGCTAGGATGTGCTTGTGACATGTGTATTACTGCGTATTCACGTTAAACATCTATCACAGCTAACCGCCCCCTCTACATGTCTTCATCTTCCCCAAATGAATATACTATAGGATCCTATACCGACACTCTAATCAGCCTTCACGCTCTTCTTCTGCGCCTTACCCGTAGTCCACCCCTTCGATTCCCAGTACTGCACACTGTCTTCCATCTTCTTGTACGCCCACGAGAAGGAGGGATCTATACCATATCAATGTCTACATTAGCCAATATCCCACACCAATCCCACGTGCAAGCAGCAAAACACAAAAGGGAAGAAAAGAAAAGGGTTAGGAAAGGAAACATACACAAGAACTGCCTCAAATCATGCCTATTATCTTCAGGCGAATACTGTTCAGCATGATAACTAGGCGTCAACACCGTCATCTTATGGCGATTAATCGAATAGTTGTAGAAGAAATGGCGGGTCTTTTCGTAAATCTCGCGGGGGCTGTATTCGTTCCCCCACATGTGAAGTAGGCGCTCGTACATGGACCAGGGTCCAAGCTTGGCCACTTTACGGAGGTATCCGAAGACTGAGAGCTCGGCGTATGTGACGCCCATGTCGGCTTCGTCGGATTGCACGTAGGTGGCGGTGATGGGCTCGAGTTCGGCGGTGGGAGTCGCGGTGAGGAAATCGTCGAGGATGGGAAGGTCGAAGGAGTCGCGGGCCCAGGCGATGAATTTCTTCAGGTCGACTTTACTTATGGAGCCGATTGGGTTGAGCTGTGATTGTTAGTGGTGTTTAGCACTTTCTTGTAGAGGGATGTGGACGTACATCGGCACTGCTGGCGTCGTATTTGGTCAGGTAGCCGCGGAGACTGTTCGCGTTAGTTTCTTGTTCGGTTTAAGGGGGTTATTGTTGTGTTATATTGGGCCTGGGACATAAACACACCATTCTGCGCTTTGTTAGAATCTCGATTCAGACGAATTATGGGGTTGCAAACGTACCATCAACATTGGACGAGCCCAGAACAAGCAGCCCTCCACCGCCAGGGCGCTGACGGACCGTCGGTAGCAACGATGCGAACAGGTATGAAAGTACCATCCGCAATCTGGCTTGGATGTTCTGCAATGCTTGGTTCTCTGCTCGGGTACCACCGTGGACCTTGAACTTAGGCTGGAAGTTTGTGACGATAGTAAACACGTTCATCATAGCAGTGATGACGGTATCAAAGTTGAAGTCGGTGTGGTAAGCACCGATCTCCGCGGCGAGCACCTTGGCCCGGTCTCTTGTTTCCTTGCTGGAGTTCTGGGTGCCCATGTAGCTCGTGTGGAAGATGCGGCTGGTGAAATAATTTAGGACCTTTGAGTTCGGCAACTAGCAGTGGGACTTACTTGCAAACCTCCTGGCTCGTAGTAGGAAGCCATGTGGAGTCAGGTGGCTCGGCGCAAAGCCTGCGGACATCCTTGATGACCTGCTCGTTTCCTTCTTGGACAGCTTTGACAACTTCTCTGCACATCGAGTGAACGATGATAGAAGTAGCGCAACTGTCAATACCACCGCTGAGAGGGATAAAGTATCCGGCAGCACCGCTCCGACGCAGATAGTCCCACAGCCAGCAAGCCGGACCAAGAGCAATCTCTTCCTCTGGAACATGGTAGCGGGGTTTGAGAGTTTCAGAGGGAGCATAGCCGGGATCGGCATCCTCATCCCGACGGGACAATCTCGTGTCCAGGTCGAGGCGGACATAAGGCGATTGCATGCTAGCCTGCATGCCTCGACTCGCACTAGAGCGGTAGGTCCGGACCTCTTCAATATCAACAGTAGCCGTAACAACCTCAACATCGTTCAGGGAGAATTGTGAACCCTGGGCCACAATGTTGCCATTGACCACAATCATTGCGCAACCATCGTAGTACAGACGATCACCATCACAGCCTTGTTGGTTTGCATAGAGATAGATGCCACCACTCTAGAGAAGAGTTAGAATTGACACCTCGTCTGCGTTTGGCAGCCTTACCAATTTTGTGGCCTGTGTGATAAGGTTGATACGGGTATCGAGCTTCCTCAATTCGTGGTGACTTCCGGAGGAGTTGGAGAAAATTTCGACACCTTTCGATAGGTTAGATAAAGTGCAGTTAGGTGAAATTGACAGACGTACCAGCAAGGCCATACGGGATGTGAGGGCTGTGCACGTATTAGCCGTCTCCCCTTAACCGAAGGACTGTATAGGTCTTACCCGTTAGGAGTGAAGAGCTCCTCGCAAGTTTCAAGACCCAAGCACGTATCTCTAGTACTGATGAGTGCATCACCAAAAGGCACCTTGTATTGTCCCGTGATCTTTCCGACAATCTGCTCCAAGTAGTAGTCCTCGACTTCGCGGGGCCGCTGCCAGGGCGTAAAGTGTCTCATTTCCCTGTAATTGCCATCTTTAGAAGAAGCAAAGGTCAGCCATTCATCCAGTGACAGTCGTGAAGAAATACGCACCATTGGCAAGCCACATCTTGGGACGGATGAGGATGATCTTGCGGTTGTAGAAGATCACGCTAGAAGAATGCTTAGTTCGAGCAGAAGTAGTAGCGGTACCGTACTCATGACCTACCGGCAGTTCCACTTGCAGTCCCTATGGCGAACGGGCATGCCGACATCAACAACGATATCCTGGCAGTCGGGGTGATCGATGATGCGGGCAAACATCTCCCACGAGTGGAGGTATGTATCACCCTCGAGGAAAGCATCGAGACAGCCATATCCTGAGCAATGTCAACAATTGCCCATAGCGATGCAACTAAGCGTAAATACCAGTAATCTCGAGCTCAGGACCAACTCGTAGCGTGGCTCCAGCTGCCTTGGCTTTCCGAATACTTTCGATAATGCGCTCGCAGTTACCCTCGAAGTCGAGGGCCCACTGGTTGAGGGAGCTGAGAGGAAATTGTCAGTGGAAACATACACCGATATACCCGTAACCAAGCACCCACCATGTTGCAAGAGTGACAAGATGACCCATGGTGAGCGACTGCGTCCCTGCTGATGCCGTGGGGAAAGATAACAAATGAAGCCATCCACGAATCAGTTGGAGAAAGCGTGACTCGCCATGACGCTCGTCACGTGTGTGGGGAGCTCCCCTCCTGCCCCTCAATCGTCACAGTAATACCGTATCGGAGCAATTGCCGGGTGAGCGGTACCTGCGCAGATGGTACCGAGATTACCCGCCTCGGCATCTGAGGGGTGCTGATTAATCGCTGGTTATCGGAGCCATGAGGAGGCCCAATTCTGCATCATCGCCTTGCTTTTTTTCTCCTGAACTTTCCCCGGTGGATATACAGCATTGTAATCATTCATATCCTATTCCTATCCCTCTAGTCCTTCTCCCTACACTCCATTCTCCCCACCATCGCCGTATTCTTTAGTGCATGATGAGCAACGATTCCCAGCTCCCCAACCCCCCGCATATACAAGCCGACTCCATGCTGGCCCGGCGGTTCGGAAAGGAGACTGTGAACTATTTCTCCAGTATGTCCTAAACCTCCCCTGAATCCCTTTACGACCAGCTATTTACCATTGCCCAGGCTCCCCATTGAACCGTCTGTCATTCCTCCGCGGAGACCATGCCTTCCTCTCCGCCGCACTCAAGCACCCCTCCACGCGCTTCGTCCTCATGAAGGACCTCGCGCCACTGACCAAATCCCCCGCGGAGCCCTACTACGCCAAATACGACGAGATCCGCAAAATGGTCCCCGAGACCATCTACGACAAGTCCGAAGAGGACATCATCAAGGAGTACGACTCACGCAAAACCACCGCATCCCCAATCTTCCTCGGTCTGGACGAGACCCAAAAACAGGACGGTCTCGTCTGGAAGATCTACACCGGAACGCCCTACTTCGCATTGGACGTGACCCCTCGCCACTCCGAAGAACAGCAAGCCAACTCCAGAGCCGTGATCGCCGACATGGAAGCCAAGGGTCTGACCTTCCTCCAGGGCAGAACCATCATGTCATTCCCCGCCAGTGAAGGTACGTACCTAACCCTACCACTCATACACAACAACAACCATCACTAACAGACACCCCCAACCCTGCACAGCCGCCATCTACGCGCAAGCCCGCGCCTTAATAGACTGGAACACGCGCAACACCTTCTGCGGCACCTGCGGTCACCCCACGATCTCCGTAAACAGCGGGACCAAACGCGCCTGTCCACCCAGCGACGCCGCCCTCGTCGAGCAAGGCAAACCCGCCACCCGACCCCCCTGCAACACTCGCACCACGATATCGAACCTCTCCTTCCCTCGCACCGATCCCACCATCATCGTGGCCGTCGTCTCCGCTGACGCCAAACGCATCCTGCTCGGCCGCTCGAAGCGCTTCCCTCCCAACTGGTACTCCACCCTAGCGGGCTTCATCGAGCCCGCCGAGTCCGTCGAAGACGCTGTCCGCCGCGAAGTGTGGGAAGAAGCCGGTGTGACGTTGTCGCGCGTCGTGATCCACTCGTCGCAGCCGTGGCCGTACCCGGCGAACTTGATGATCGGGGCTATTGCGCAAGTGAGTGATCCGGCGCATGAGAAGATCAACCTCGAGCATGATCCTGAGCTCGAGGATGCGAGGTGGTTTGAGTTTGCCGAGGTCGAGGAGGCGCTGAGGACGGGAACGAGTGTTTTGGGGTCTGGGCCGGGGCCTGAGTATAAGGAGGGGGCGTTGAGGTTGCCCCCGGCTACGGCTATTGCGAATCAGCTTATTCGGGCGGCGATTAATTTGGAGTTTTTGGGTGGGGAGAATGGGCCGAAGATGTGAGGGGGGCCTAGATGATAGAATCCTAGAAGTTGGGGGTGGAGTAGAGGTGTGGGGTTGGGGATAGCGTTCTTGGTGGGTTGGTGTTTTGTTCTTTGCTTTATTGTTATCGCCTTTGTATGGGTTATGAAGACACGGACGGTATGCTTGTATAGACGTGTAGAGCAAGCATCCTGCGGGTAAGATGCAAGGATGCTTTGAATAGAGACAATTGCTCTAACTATATGCTTGTGAAAGTTACCATGATTGCTAGAAACATTCCCACACATATGCCACGTAACATCAATCCAAACACCCATACATACACTCGTAAATCATCTAGATCTACTACACTGCAAACACAACTCCAAGCCCTATGCATAAACCGCAGGTAGAAATCAGAAGTTCGCATACACCGTCCCATCCCTCAACTCATGTATATCCTCCTTCCTGCTCGGCGACCCAACCTCGGCATATCTCCTTCCATCGCGCAACTCATGGATGGTAATCCGACGATGGGATTTCCGCCTCCGGGAGCCGGAGCCGGAGCCCCGACTTGACGAGAACGAGGAGTCCGCGCGTCCATCAACGTTGTTCACGCTGCCCGAATCACTGAATCCACCGGTACTGTAGGGGGTGGCCTCGCGACTTTCCTGCTCTATCGAGGCTTGTAATTGGTAGTCGGCTACCATGGCCATGCCGTCTTCGTGATACCATTGGCGCAAGTCCGTGGCGTAGGTTTGCTCTTCCGCGCCGTATTCGACAGGTGGGCCGTCGATTTGGGCTTCGTTAGGGCCGTTGAAGACGGCCCAGGCGCTGCTGTCGACGCTGGATAGGGTGATGGAGTGCTTGAAGCTTTTGACTTTGAAGTTTCGGAGGAGGATGGCGTCGCCTTCTTCTAAGGTTGGGAGGGCGGTTTTGTAGGGTCGGAAGATCTGGGCGTACAGGATTGTGCCGGCGAGGGATGGGTCGGTCACACCGAAGGTCAGTATGTAGTCCTTTCTGCCTGTAGTTGAGCGGATCGCGGGTCGAGTTTCGGATACGATTGAGATGGTGTCTGTCAGTGCGTTGTAGTGGTCGATGAGGGTGGCGAGGGGCGCGAAGTAGGAGTAATTGCTGCGCAGGCCCGGGTAGTTGCGGTTGAGGTCGAGAAGGTGTTTGCGATCATGGCCGACGAGTAGGACTTCGTCTTCGCTATGAGTTGTGTGGGCTCCCTTGTCGTCGTCCGAAATTGCCCGTTCTTCGGGTGCGGGAGAGATCGACTCTGCTTCAGACTGGGCGTCTTCGTCTTGCGGGAGAGTTTCTGTCACCACCGTCGCTGTTGTTTCTGTAACTACCTCAACGGTGGGCTGTGGTTCGTCTTCCACCTGGAAATCTGACCTTTCCTGGGTAGGCTCAGGGGTTGGCAGGGCTGCATCCACCGGTAAGACAGGGACAGAAGGAATGTCCACTCCATTAATTTGAGATGACCCTGGAGTCACCAGCTGGTTCTGTGGGAGAATTGGCATCTTGGGAACATGGGCAGCCGAGTCAGGAAGGCCCAAGCTTTGAGAAGCACCATCTAGCGACAGGCTAGGGTCAATGTGCTGGGCTTGTTCTGGCACGCCTGCATCCTCACCATCCTGTATCTGCTCGTGGGAGGTATGTGCCTCCTGTTGTTCACTACTAATTTCTGTCGGAAAAGTGCCCGCGTTGAAAAGCTCGGGATCGATCGGAGGTTCGGGATACTGTAGTATGGGTTCAGTACTGGTCCCATCCTGTTGAGCGATATGGATAGTTTCTTGAGCATATGCGATCTCCCCGGGATGTGCCTCGTGTGATATGACTTCTGTCATCCCTAATTCCCCATGTTCGGCGTGGTAACCAGGGTGTTCGTCGATATCGATGCTTTGCTCGGCGCCATCGGATGGAGCCCTAAGGACAGCACCCTCTGTGGATTCTTCATGACCTTCTGCAAGATAATCCGGTTCTTCTGTTGCCTCATCGTCTATGTGCACCACCTCTGGCTCTTTAGCATCAGCTGGCTCCTCGAGAGGTTCCTGTTGTACGTCTTCTCCATGAGCATCCAAGTAGTGAGCCTTCTCGTCGCCGACTGTTTCGTCACGGGATTGTTCATCGTTATTCTGATCATCATCGGTTTGTAGGTCGTGCATCTCTTCATCCTGGACCGATTCGGCTTCCATGGCCTTGACATCAGCATCTTCAGTGTCCCGCTGTACCTCATCCATATCCACATCTCCTTCGCTCTCGTGTCCGTGATCTACCTGCTCTACGCCGATTGCCTCGTCATCACCGTGCGGCTCCATTGTTGGTTTATGAGCCGCCTGCAGTTCGTCGGAATGTAATCCTTCACTCCTCTCGATTTCGCGGCTCTGGCGAATCAAGTCGACCTCTACCGGCTCGACCTCTCGCTCCTGGGCTTCTTGGTTATCTCGCACAAACCATTCGCCACCCTCTTCGCCGTCTTCATCACTATAGTCCTCCCCGTCCGCGTCATCAACCTCCTCGCTCTCATATTCTTCGTATTCGCCTGGCTCCGATGTCCCATAGCTGGATGCTTCATCCGCAGATGGGGATACGTCGGGTTCCCGAGTATATTGGGCTGTCGGTGCTGTAGTGGGCTGCCTTGGTACGCTCGGCGAAAGCTCCTCGTCGCTATCGCTATCGAGCACAATAACCTCTGGTTCGGCCTTCTTGATGGGATGAGGCGATTCAGCCTCTGGTTCATCTTCTTGTGACTCGAGTTCAGAGTCCACACGATCGTCATATCCGTCCTCATCATAGTCATCCTCCAACTCTCCAGATTCAGGTTCCTCATCAGAAATTTCCTCCTCCTCATCAAGTTCTTCTTCCTCGCCATCTTCGAGGTAATACCCATATTCTCTCCTGACGGTACCATGAGGTTTCTCCGGTGATTCTGCTTCACTCTCGGAAATAAGTTCGATGTCATGTCTTGCTCTGGAGTCGGGCTGCTCGTCTTCTTCTGAAACGTATTCTTCGCTCAATGCCTCTGGGCGAGCGTCCTTGATGACTGAGCTTTGACTAGCGCTCTCGTATTCGTGGTCTTCGCCTTCTAAGTCGTGCTGTGTCGTTTCCATTACGCTGCGGTAAATTCCTTTCTCCTCCGCAACCATGCTGGAATCCGCCCGTGCTTCAAATTGCCCAAGTGCTTCGAGCCGTTCCTCGTCCTCTTCCACCTTGGCCCGTTCTTCTTCGTGTGGCATTGAGCCTTCAGTATCTCCACCTTCAATACCGAAAGTGAAAGCGGTATGCGGAGTCGCTGTTTGAAGAAAAGACAAAGACGGCGTAGTATCTGGAGCATGCGTAGCCTCTGAAACTTGTGCCCCTGCATTGACCATTCCGTGTAACGAAACAGCATGGCCAACTTCAGGCTCAGAGTCCACTTCGCGCATCTGTGAAACTGGTTCGGAAAAAGTGGTAGCTTCCTCGTGAACCATTGTTGTTACATGCTCATCAGATTTCCTGATAATAGTCTCTGGTGGCATCTCTGATATAGCCTCAAGTGCCAAATCGGCGGCATCCTGGTTGACAGTTGTTGGTGGAGTAGACTGAGTTTGGCCGGTAGTTGACACGGCTCCGAAATACCCAAAAGGGCTATTTGATGTGCTAACCAAGGGTGAAGGAACAGGAAGACCGGGAGAGGGGATAGGGTGAAGGCGCGGAGTATCTATTGGCAGATGACCAGCGAAGGTGGGAATGCCATGCCTTCGCGGACTTGGAGCCTCGGTCCTCGATACAATGCCAGGCACAAGAAATTCCGCATCGGATCTTGATTCGTTCAACTTCTTCTCTGTAGTGGACTCAGGTGTCACTTGCTCGGACTCGGTGGCGGTACCTTCAGCTTGCGCGCCATCGGGCGGCCCCTCCGATACTGGCTCATCGTCGCGAGTTTCAGATGGCTCTGGGGACTGTTTGGTATCCTCCGCATCATCCTCGCCAATCTCAGCTTTCAGCCATTCCTCGTCGTCAAACATAGCCGTCCAATCTCCAGGAATGTCGATATCTTCGGGGCTCGCAGGTTCATCGACGAGACGCCAATCACTGCCGCGCATGCTAAACCTTGGTCGCTTCCTTCCTTTCCCCGGCACGAAGCCATCTTCTTCTGCGAATGGGTCGAATATGGAGCTCGAAAGGTGGCCCAGCGATGTGCGCGATCGCTCGACAAAAGCCGGTGACTGCCATGCTTGTAGACTAGCGCTGTGACTCGTCCCATCTGGGCGAGGGTATCCGTTGGCAGGAGGGGTGGATGGTGCCTCTTCAATCACATTGTCGATAGTGGGCGGCGGAGATGATGGGCGGTCTACTTGCACAGTGGAGAGATGTTGAGAAGAACGCCAGATCTAACACTGGTAAGCACTGGACTGTAACTGATCACTACTAGCTGAGCCCGAAAAAGTACCTCAATGGAAACGCCGTCATCATAAATGATGTCCCACGCGATGCATCTCCCTGGCGTCTGATTGGATACCCCATTGTCCACAAATCTCGATCCCGCCAGTCTAATGTAGACAGTATCGCCAATTCCGACGTGCGACTTGGCTACTTCTTCCGCGACCAGCCCATGGAAGACCACCTTGACCTGTCCATTCGTGCGTCGAAGGCGAAAGTCCGGCTCCGCGAGCAAGAGACTGAGAGAACGAGTTGATGATGAGTAGGGCCATAGCAAGGTCACCACGGCGTGGATAGAGCTGTCCGAAAGATTCTCGAGCTCCGGGGCGAGCTTCGCGATAGGGATCGGGGTCGTCGACCGTAGAGGTTCGGAGACCGGAGGTTGCTGTTCGTGAGCGTTCATCGCTGCAAGCGCTTAATGAACAAGTAATATCCGCATTTCCAGTCCTTTATTATAGGCCTTGCATGTTCCGGGCGGGATGGCGTCTGCACGAAGCAACACTATTGTTGTTGTTGTTGGCCGATCGGATATTGGAAGACGCGCGGGAGAATTGAAGATGGAAAGATGCGGAGGTGAGCCCAGATTCCCCCCGTATCGGTGCGTAATATTACCCGTGCTTTTCTCCGCGGAGTTCGATGTTTAGCGGGTAATCTACGTCATGGTCGGTACGCCCTTTATCTCGTTGGGCATCTCCGCCTATTTGCGATCGCACAAGATTTTAAGAGTAGAGATCCTAATTTTAAGCTCTGATATAGCGTAGATAGCTACTATTTTCCTGATCGGTATAATCAGCAGCTAGGGAAATGCCGAAGAGCACGGCATCCATCGCGAGAGTGATGCAATCGTCATCTGCTGGCTAATTACTAGGGATGAGCTTATCGGCTCGCCTCCGATAGCCCCTCGGACTCAAGGACGAGACATACTAATCATCCTTCCAACTCTCACTGTCTGCTCGGAGCTTGCCTCAGTAATGACACTTTCAACCCCAATTCGTCGTATAGCTGTCATCGGAGCTGGACCGTCGGGTCTTGCTGCGGTCAAGTAGGGAAGCACCTGAGTGTATCATAGTCTTAAGTCACTAACGAGCCCCGCAGGTACCTTCTTGCTGAGAAATGCTTCGAGCGGGTTGATGTCTTCGAGAAAAGAAGCTCTGCAGGCGGAGTCTGGAATTACTGCCCGGGGACCCTGAAGGAGAAATTGACCACTCCAGTGCCACAACTGGATCCGAACCAACCGCTCGAAGAGCCATTATGGTACCCGACTGGAGGCAACGACCGGTCTCGAGAGCCAGTCTTTGTCTCCCCGCTGTATAAGACACTGGACACTAACATCCCCAAAGAGATGATGGGATTTAATGACAAATCTTTTGAGCCGGACTCACAGGTGTTTCCGAAGCACTCGGCCGTAAAGAAATATCTGGATGAGTATGCCGAAGACATCAAAAATGTCATACAGTTCGAGACGCAGGTGGTAGATGTGCGGAGGACGGAAGGCGCTCTCCATGCTTGGTCTCTCACAACCAAAAACCTCCGTGAAGGGGTCGAGAGAACGCACTCATACGATGCTGTAGTGGTTGCTAGTGGCCACTTCGACGTTCCATATACCCCTGATATTCCTGGAATCCAAAACTGGAATACGGCATATCCAAAGGTGATCTCTCATTCGAGGCTCTTTGATTCGGCAGAGTCGTTCCGAGACAAGAAGGTCATTATTGTAGGAACTTCGGCATCTGGACTAGATATTGGCAATCAGATCAACGAAGTGTCCAGGGGGAAATTGCTGGTATCTCAACGAACAGAGACCCCTCTGGCATCTACTGCTTCGGATAAAATCTATCTTCCACAAATAGTGGAATTCTTACCGCCTCATACACACAATAGAGCAGTCCGGTTTGAGAACGGCCACATCGAGCAGGACATTGATGCCATCGTCTTCTGCACTGGCTATCTCTACTCCTTCCCTTTTCTCTCATCATTGAACCCACCTCTGATCACCGATGGCCGTCGCACTCTGAATGTGTACCAACACCTGTTTTACATCTACGACACATCTCTGGTCTTACCTGCACTTCCACAGAGGGTAATTCCGCTCCCACTTTCGGAGAACCAGGCGGCGGTGTTCGCCCGTGTTTGGTCGGGAAGGCTCAGCCTTCCATCAAAGGAGGAGATGAAAGCTTGGGAGGAAGCAAACATTGCCCGAAAGGGCAACGGGACATCATTTCATTTGCTACCTTTTCCGCAGGATGCGGACTACCACAACTTCTTGCATGACTGGGCGGCGACGGCGCCACCCCGGCAAGGTCTTGACAATAACGGTGCTGGGAAGCTGTGTAGTTATTGTGGTGAGAGGCAAAGGTGGATACGGCAAAGAATGTCTGATATCAAGCGGGTATTTGCAGAGAAGGGCGAGGAGCGAAGCTCTATCAAGAGCCTAGAGCAACTTGGCTTCGACTATGACAAGTGGAAGGGGCAGGAGGGATCTCGAGACGCTCGATTGTGATAGAGTATACAATCATATGATAGATACGAGTCTGCATTAATAGACGTCAAAGAAATTAATAGACAGTTTCTCTAACTCTTATCTATCGCAGCTACATGCATACTCTCTATGATCTAAATATGCAAAAGCACCATAAAGCAAAGCACCACCTAAATACCCACCATCATCGTCTCCTCATCCCACCACTTCTTAAAAATGGTCAACCTCTCCGTACGATCCCTAGCCATCTGCCTCCCAGAGCCAGTCTACATTCCACATTAGCACATACGCACATAAACGAAAATAACCAGAAGGTTCCAAAAAAAATACTTACCTTCATCATCCCCTCCAACTTCTCCAACTTATCATCAATATGCTCTCTCGAATTTTGCATACTAGCACCCGCCAACTTAGCGCCCGTAAAGGTAAACGTCCTACCAATCCCAATGGCTCCAATGGCATCAATACGATCCGCATCCTGCACGATAGCAAGTTCAGGATGTTGCTGTATAACAGACAGCACCTTCTTTGGGTCCTTGATCTCAGATGAGTACGAAACGTGATTGACCACCTCTTCGACCCTAGCTGCTAGGGCTGCTGAGGCTCCGGCTTGCTGCAACACCAGAGTCACTTTGGAGGTCTGCTGCTGACCCTCGATGACTGGTGGGGCGTATTTCTTGTCATTCACGTCGTGGAGAAGGCTTTTGTTGTTTTGTTAGAACAGATTGAATGTGGAATGGTAGTAAACGTAGTTTGCAGTGGGCTGGCTACGATAGTGGCTAAGATTTTGGTTACTTACGCGCTGAGGAGGACCACGGTAGGGTCATAAGTCTTCGTAGTGTTGTATTCTGCGGATAGAATGCGCTGGGATAGTGCCAGAACCCGAAGGATATGGTTAAAGTCATGCGATGCATCGTAGTTGCTCATGTGGTCTTGTACTGCTTCGGCGACGGAGAGGAATAGGTCGTCCCCGGCTGGGAGGAGATTTCCGTAGGGTGCTGCACGCGCTGATGCGAGGATTTTGTGCACTGACTCCATTGTTCCTGGTTGTGCTTTTCCACGAGGGATTGGAATTGAGGTTTGAATTGGTGTTGCGGTTGATGAGATAGCTAATTGACGCAAGTAGAAGTAATGGATAGGGTTGCTTTGGGGAGGAGGAATTTAGTTGGTAGAGAGAAATGGCTGCAAAAGCTTCCCCACATTCCTGATAAGTGCCCGGGAAGCAGTTATGCTTGCTTAGCCCTGCCGCTTTTCCCTTCTGCAGCTTTGGTAGCTTCTCCAGGACCCTTTCACCGACACAAATGCATAAAAGAATTGAGCATGTAATGATTCATTCATGCAGTTGAGCCCAATGCATATGTCCCATAGTTTAACCTATAAATCTCACTTCCACTCGCAATATGAGAAGCCCGAAGGGGAGTATTGTAGATGACATCCGCCATAGTGATGAAGCCATCTTTTCCACAGTCTCCTGGACGAGAGTAAAACACTGATCAATTTAGTATCTACTAAACACTCTCTCTTATGTATTTCTGTAACAATTGGAACAAAGAGGGATATAACAGCGGCGTTCCCCGAGGCTATGGGTGTTAATAGTCAATATCGGAAGTGAACAATGGAGACACCCTCAAACAGATCAGACTCACTGATTCTCAGCTCATTCGTAGTCCGATATTTAACATAGCTGATGAACAAGTGTCAAGTTCAATGAGTGTAAGTCAACTGACATTCGCATTGGCCTCTGGATGGCTTCGTTCCTCAGGTTTAGGGCTGCCGACTGTAGAAACCACCACGGAGTTGAGACAGCGGCTTCCACCAGAAACGGTCACAGATATTAGAGATAGAACATTTATTTTGTGCTACATGTAAGCTACAGCTACAAACCATCTTCTCGAGATAAAGCTCTCTGCGCATGCAAGAACCGGCCCATCCGCTGGTCGAGTCCAGAATGCAGACTGATGCATGGGAATCCTTTCCGTCTTTCGCTTCGGCGAACTGCGGAATAGCAGTAACATTGAAACCCACCTCCTTTCTTCAAAGATCTTGTTAACAAAGAATTACTTCACTCCAGTGTTACCAGGTGAAATATACAGCTATTCCCACAGAGACATTCCCGAAGCTGAATTCCTTCTTTACCTCCGTAGGCCCGGCCGATAAGCAGCCATCACGTGCCGGTCGATCACCCGCGTTGGTTCCGTCGACTTCATCACCAGCTGGACTGTTCCTCAATCCATCTTATGATCCACTTCCTCCAAACACCCCTCATCCTTGCCCCCCTTTCGAGGATTCGCCCTTTTCCTGGACTATAGCTGCATTTCCAAACACTGCGACCTCAGCAAGCTCTTCTACCTTCGCTATTCCACCTTTCGTTCAACATCCCATCGCTTTAGCTCCAATACTCTACCATGGATTGTTACACCTCGGCCACGCTCTCTGCTTGCGTATAATGTCGCGCAAGCGCAAGTCTACTTCTACGATATATACAAGCCATACAAGCCACAAACGAAAGAAACGCTGGAGAACCCAGCACGTCGTTCATTCTAGCGACAACGAGGCAGACACCGATAGCGAATCTCTGAGTGCAGACGAGTGGCTTATCAACTGTATACTTGACGAGACCGAATCGCAATACTTGATTGACTGGGAAGGACCTTGGACGCCTACTTGGGTGAGCTTAGTGATCTATCCGCTACTTTCTGCCATTCCTTGCTTCATTGGAAGCTTGTTGGAAGTACTGGGAGCTTCACTGTTCTAACTTCCTGCCGTGCAATACCAGGAACCGAAGGAAAACGCCAACGACGTTGCCGTGCAAGTCTGGGAGGACAAAAAGCGAAGAGATCAGGCCCAGGAGGAATTTGTTCGAAGTAACACTCCACCACTACCATCACCATCACCGCCACCCGTCTCCAGTGTTCAAGAACACAGTAGAGACTCTTTAAGCCCAAGACCCAGTCAGCCCCAGACTGAAGCCCCGACTGACGAATCCCAGTCTAGACAGTCCTCGACCTCCCCTCTCTTTGTTTCGCCTAGCACCGTATCTGAAACTACCCTGTGTCTGGATGACCAAGCCAGCGGATTACTGAGGAGTTCCGGTGTTGATACAGAAGTGCCCAGGCATACGTCACAATCGGTTACTGACAGCCCACTTGACCCGGAAGTGGTACCCACTGCCAGTGTTACTGAAGTCGCTGCTATCATCTCGACTTCCCGCCAACCCATAGTTTCGGACGAAGTCGAAGAGACACCGACCACACCTTACCGCCCAGGAAATACCGACACACCGAACGTCACTGAAGGGATCCCGGAAACTCCGCATAACGAATCTTCTGCTGCGCCGTCGACTTCAAACTTACCCGCGCTATTGCCAGCCAACCCGGCAGAAGAAGCTGATGAAATACCTGAAACCCCGTCTGATCCAGTCGATGAACCCCAGCTATTCAGACGTGCGAGTACAGTACCCGAGTCAATTGCTGTAAACGGTCCGCAAACCCCAGCGAGTCAACCTACTGCTTCAAGCTTTCGTTCATTACTGAACCAACTTTTCCATTCAAGATCTAGAAACAGCATGGATAGTCAAGAGAAGGAAGGGCCATCGTTGTCCGATACCATGGAGAAATACAGCCAGTTTGAAGGGTCCACCCCGAGGGAAAAGCTCAGAAATGCATATGCACAACTACGCGCAAAAGCCAACCCTGGCCCTGAAAGTGCGACGCCATCATCTGCCGGAGACATAGAGCCTTCTGTCCCTGTTCCTGTACCCGAGACGACAGCTCCCCTTAGCGTTAGGGTCGATAAGGAACCAACACATCCTAAAGATGTTGAAGTGGATCATGATACTACAATCCCCCCTGTCGAACCTTTGGAGATGGGACCTCCTCAGACCATTCAGCCTAGTGCATTATCAATGCACTTCGCAGAGGAGCCAATACCTGGTTCAGTCCATCTTGGGCCGTCGGAGTTTGCTGTGCCTCTTCCAATGGATTCCAGGGTCAAGGATGACTATGAACGGGTCTTGACGAGCGAAAGCCAGAGTATTCGCGATTTCCTCGGCGATTATCAGGTTCGATGTCCACCCTCCGTCACTTTGCTGTATACTGACTAGCAAGCAGCGTGATCTTCTTGTACCGAAGATGCATGAAATACTAAACCGTCTGAGCAATATTTCCACGCACCCAGATCTGAACATCGCGGAACATATCAACGACTCTGAGTCGGACCTAGGGAGGGAGGCTGCTTGGGCTGAGTACTCAAGCGCAAAGTTTTTGCTCTTAAGCTACCTTTTGGAGGCAGCCAGCATGCGTGATATACATTTGGTTATCATGGTGCAAGGAGAAAAGACTCAGCGGGTGGTTGAACGTTATCTGATGGGCAAGGGCCTGTCGTATACTCGTCCACGCCAGGAAATGGGATCGGGCACGAACATTGAGGTTTCCATGGTCAAGGATTCCTTGAGTTTTGGGATTCAAACCACGCGTAATGACGGGGTTATGGAGACATATAAAGCCCCTGCTGCTATCATCGCCTTAGATAAGTCTTTCAGCAGCCAGACACCCACGGTGGAACACATGCGAACCACATTCGCTCGCAATGGAAATCTGCTTCCGGTGGTTCGTCTGTTAGTGTCAAACTCCAGTGAACATATCGAACTATGTTTCTCTGGCCTGCCGGAACCGGAACGTCTTAAGACTCTCCTGCAATACTCCATACGTCTCCGTGACGTGGTTGGTGACCTTCAGGATGATGCTCTTGGGGTGCAGGAGGATGCAGAAGAGCTTCTCACTTGCCTTGTCTCGGATAACTTTAACGCTCATTGGTCTCTACCTCACATTGAACCTTTGCACATTCTGAGCCCTGAGCAGCTTGAGGCGTCGCAACAAGAACTGCAAAGTCGACCTGGTGTCGACATTCAGCTGACGACTTCTCAAGCCCATAAACGAGCATTCGTAAGTCGATCAGAATGTCAAATTGTCCTGATGTGTCGCACTAACATCTAGATAGGAGGAAGAAGATGAGGTCGAACAGCCAGCCAAGAGAACGAAGACGGAAGAGCCGACGCAAGAACCAACCCAGTCCACTGAATCGACTGGATTCCCTAGTCAACCATTAAACGGTGGACTCCAAACGCTAGAGAAGAATATTGTTCAGATGCAGAACTCACATGCAGCAGAGCTCGAAAAACTCCAGAAAGCTCTCGCAGGAGCCCAAGCCCGTCTTCAAGAAAGAGAGAACGTGCTGGAAAAGTTGCAGCACCGTTACGAAACACGGACCAGAGACTTCCACAAACTCCGACGGGAGCATGACCGTCTCACCCAAGCTAAGGCCACATCCGACCAGCGAGTCGAAAAGCAGAAAGAAGAGCTCATGAAATTGAAGGATGAACGGACCCAGCTCCGACACGAACTCGAAGAGGCCCGCGAGTCCCTCAAAGCAGGCGGGGGCAGTGCAGCCGAACTCGAATCAGCAAGGGAAGACATTCGACGTCTGACTAAAGACAACGCCTCGCTAGAACGCAAAGCCGAATACGAAGCCCGACAAGCAGAATACACGCGCGAACAATACCAGACCGCCTCGACCGTGGCCGCACAATCAGGCAACGAGCTTCGCCAATTGCGCAGCGAGAACGAGACCCTGAAACGGAAGGTCGAGGGAGACGCAGCCCATCTGCGCGAACTCAACACGAAGAACGACGAAGCCCGCCATCTCGCGCGGGTCCTCGAACTCGAAGCAACCCTCACGTCCCGGGAAGATCTGCTCCGCCGGAAGGAAGAAGAACTTCGGGAAATCCGGAAGAATCGTCCGTCGACTCGCTCGACCAGCACGCAGCCGCGAAGCCCCAAATGGACTGCAGGTAATAGCCGGCCCACGAGCCCTGGCATCAACAATGGTTCATCGCTTGCAGGTCGCGGTAGTGCGCTCAGATTCAGTTCCGAAATGCCCCTTTAGTCGACTCATCGATACCACCCTACCCTACGAACTTCTTCCTTCCAGCTCGACCGATCCGTCACTCCTATCATCAGCCGCCCACCCACCACCACCCTACCAACCCACCCCGCCAAACGCCACTTATCGATCGACGACGTTCGGCCTCCCTCGTATTCGCCCCCCTTGCATACATAAATGCATGCATGCATACATACCGATTCCGGCTCTGCATCAGGTTCTCTTTCCCTGTTCATACTACATCCCCGCCTATCTATCCATCCACCCTATCTAGCTATCCTATCAAACTCACCCCGCCACCACACACAGCATAACATGCATATACCTCACCGATCTGACCCCGATTATCTATCCAATAATTCAATTGAATCGGCCCTTCATCATCTCTCAATGTATTCCCCCTTTCCACAATGTATGTAGGTGCGGTGTGATTTTCCTGTCCACCGTATTCATCTTCTTACATAGTTCCTCACACACTGCCAATTCCCGGTTCCTTGGCCTTTTGCTGTACTTGCTAGGGATTGGGTTACAGTGCTTTAGACTTCAATCAATCAGATAACCTAAACCTACCAATCGAATGAAACACACACACACACACAACCAAATTCGTTCACATACTAAGCTATCTTGATTTTTATTTCATGCTCACATGCATGCTATGCGTGTATTACCAGTCGAGTGGAAGTCATGACTATGGGAGATGGAAACTACTGTTATACCATTGCCAAGTGCTCCTGTAAAGCTTCCTTCTGTGTACTGCTCACGTCGTCAATTCAGTATAGGCACAAGTTTGATAAGACTTTTTTTTTTCGTATTGGCATTCTCTATCATAAATCAAAATCAAGCAGCATAGGTACGTAGATGAGACATATCAACCAACTCCAATCAGGAAGTAAGTAGCAAATGACATGAGGGGGTTCGTATATCACATCGTTCGTCTTTTCTCATCATCATCACTTCAACTCCAAGAAACCAAAATCCAGGTAGACCATTAGCAGCACGAAATCCGCCACCTGCAATCACAACAATAGTGTGCTTAAATCCTAAGGGGTACAACGACAATATTAGTGGATTAATATGCGAATTCCATCAATAGAATGGCAGTGCTGTCAGTTCTGGCTGGAGTCTTGGAGGAAGGCGTAATGCATAACAATCTAATTGGCCATGGCGTTACCAATGAAGGAGCCCAGTTCCTTGGCCTTGGGTCCCAGAGTCATGGTGAAATGGTTCGCACCCTCAATTACGGTGATACCACCGACATTTTGGGGCCCAACGAGCGTGTCCCATTTGTTGGGTCCCATGTCGGTCCGGTTCTTGAGGAGCCAGACCATTTCTCTCGTATCCGGCTTGCCGTCCGGGTCCGGCTCGGGCCACGGGTCATCCGGCTTGCTGCAAATACCGTCCTTGGCCCAGACCATGAAAGTCTTGGGCATCTTCTTGGCCCACTTCGGATCGTCAAAGGGGAGGGGAACAGCCCTGTAGGTATCGAGGGAATCAATGAAGGCCAGGAAGTGGGGAAGCAACCAGGCCGGGGGAGCCTTGTTGCCTTCTCCAAAGAGACCCATTGAGTTGATGAAGCCGTAAAGCCGGGTGGGCAACTTCTCTAAGCCGATGGGGAAGGGCGAGTCGAGAAGGAGCAATCGGTCAACCTGTTCGTTCTCTTCAAGAATCAAGTAGCGAGCGGCATCATAGGCGCAAATACCACCTGCAGACCATCCACCGAAGTTGTACGGGCCCTTGGGCTGTCTGCGGCGGATCTCGGCCAGGTAAGGGAATGTCATCTCAGCAAGGGGGTACTTCAGCTTCTCTGGAGTCTTCATATACGGGCAGTTCAACCCGTAGACACACACGTCTGGAGACACTCCGGGAATGGTTGCGTACGATGTTGCGGAACCAGAACCATCAGGGAACAGGAACAGGGTCTTGGTGGCGGTTTTCGGGTTCCCTTGCAACAAAATGGAGGTTGATCGAGGGTGCGGGCTCGCCCGTGTCATGATGGTAGAGTTTGCGTTGGGGACAGGTTCCTTCAATATGGGCGCGGACACTGGTGCGGGAACGGGTGCAGGCGCAGGTGCAGGCGCAGCCTTGGGCTTGAGGCCCAATGCATCTTCCACGTCATTAAGAGTTTGATTCTCGATGAAGAACTCGCCCGGCAGATCGAGATCTAATGTCTCACGGATCCTACCAAGCACGGTAAGCGAGAGCAGAGAGTCCATCCCCATCTCTCCCAAGTTCTCATCGTCCTTCAGCTCCTCCTCAGAAACACCAATCTCGTCAGCCAAGATGGCGCGAATTTCCTTTATCGTAGCATGCTGCTCAACCTGCGTAACTTTCTCATTTGGTGGTGAGCTGACAGGGGACCCAGCACTGGACTCGTCTGTTGAAGAGCCACCATTGAAGGAGCTACTGGACTCTGGGTCACTGGTGGACCCATCACTGACTTCTCCCTGGCTCATTGGTGCCAGGAACTGCTTGAAGTCTTTCACGGTCGGCTGGTCAATGAAGACGGAGGATTCGAGGTCGATATCCAACTCTTCGCGATACCTGCCCGTGACTGTCAGGGAAAGAAGAGAGTCCACACCGTAGTCGGCGAACACCAGATCATCTGTGATTTCGGATTCGGAGAGTCCCACTTCCTCTGCGAGGATGGTAAGAGCCCGTTTGGCCAAGCTTGGGGCACTGGGCTTAGCAGCAGGCTTCGCCGGAGCCGGGGCGCTAGCACGACTCTTGCTAGTAGCAGCGGGGGCCGCCTTCTGAGCGCTGGCGGCGGGTCTGGCGGGGGCCTTCGAAGCCCCAACGGGTGGTAGGACCGTATCGAGGATCTTGCGCGATAAGGCTTGAAACTGTGACAGCAGTGTTTAGTACATTGAACTTTCTGGAAATGAATGTAGGCCGAGCTCACCTTGACTGCACCATACACCGCAACGATATCCTCCCCATCGAAGACGTAGACATCACCAGCCCAGATGGAGTCTTTCCAAGGCTGCATTCTAACATAAGTTCTGTAGGTGACATCAGGCGAAAACTTCTTCAAACAACGCATTGAGTCCCATCCGTGATTTACAAAGACCTGGTTCTTGGAGTCTGTTGCATCGCTTGCGTTCATGATGAACCCAGACAGGTGTCCAAAGCTGTCAATCCAGAACGGGTTCCGGTGGAATTTGCCCTGTGACGCTTGGAACTTGACGCGTGCGGTAGCTTCGTGCTGTTCACTGTCAAGAATAACCTCGCGAATGTTCTTGAAATTTTCGTCGTAATCAACCAGAGCGGCGAAAAGTTTGTAAACCATACCTCTACCGAGACGGTGAGCGTCACCATCCTCGGCGATATCATGCAGTCGGTCAATGCTTCTCTTGACAAGGTATGAAACTCGTTTCCACTCCGCCTCAGCAGCAGCACAATCAAATAATCGGACAGTGCAAGTTGCGTGATCAGCGGTCTTCTTCCCTTCTGCAGTGACTGAATAGATCTGAAGGGTTGTCTTCTTCTCCGCCCAATCCGCTGTCGCAGATACTCTGAAGAGCTGCTGTCCACCTTTCGCAATCAATGGCCGTGGCACTGTGACCTCACAGACATCCAGTCCAAGTCCATCATACTCAGGCTTATACTTCTTGATGAGATACTCTGCAAGCGTCTGAGATATATCGGCATACAGTGACTATGCCCTGGTTAGTGCTAATCTTAACGCGGAAGTTGGAGCAAGACCGGTAACTTACTGAGGGGCACAGAGCGGCGCCGTTGACCTTGTGGCCTTGAATGACGCGGTTAAGGTCAGGATCAGCAATGTCGTTTTCTATTACAACTGTGGCTGTTGTTCCATCACCTCGAGTCTCAATGACCTTCTGAGCCGCGGTTGTCAGGAACTCATGCTGCGGCCCTGCAGCTACTGCCGCTACTGGAGCGCCCTTACTCAAGCAGAAGTTGTTGGTATAGGGAATCCAGTAGTTCTTGAGATCCCACTTGTAGCCTGGGAGGCGAAGAACCTGGAGAGAGGAGCAAAAGTCTTGGTGATATTGCTTCCAGTTGATGTCAATACCCGCCAAGTGAAGGCTCGCAAGACTGCTTGAAAGGACCTTCCAGATATCTTCTTCGCGGCGTAGAGATGCAACCGTTGTAACTTGCGGTCCAAGTGTTGCCTTAATCATTCCAGAGCAAATGGTATGTGAGCCAATCTCGACCCACAAAGTCTTGTCGTTGGTCAGCTTCGCATGCCTTGTAGCCTCCACGCCGCCAAGGAAGTTGACCGTCTTCCTGCAATGATCGCGCAGGTATTTGGGGCCGAGACACTCCCAGTTGGCATCAGTGATCACTTCGCCGAACAGGGCTGAGACGAAAGGTGTTGTCGGCTTGTGGAAGGTGACACCTTGAGCAATATCTTCAAAGGAATCCAAGATAGGGTCCACTTGAGAGGAGTGGAATGCGTAAGGGACACGGAGCTTGGTTGACTTCAAACCCTCTGTGGAGCATTTCTGAGCCAGCTCATCAATATCAGCGACAAGACCGCTGACGACGGTCTCTGCTGGTGCGTTAATACAAGAGACTTCGTGGAGCTCATCTCTGAGGAACTGTTTAACCTCTGCCAGAGACGCCTTGATGGCCAGCATCGAATGTGTCCCAATCTTGCACTCCTTCGTCAGCAACTGAGCACGGCGGCCACACAGATAGATTGTATCGCTGGTGGATAGAACACCGGCTGTGTTAAGGGCTGCATAGTCACCGAGACTGTGTCCGATAATGAAGGCCGGCTTCACACCCAACGCAGTCCAGTAATTGACCAGAGCCATTTGCACACAAGTAGTGCCCACTTGTACCACGACTGGGCTAAGGTCTTCAACGGGTACGCTTCCATCGACGAGAGGCAGGATAGAAGGAAGGCCCTGGCTTCTTGCGATGCAGTCAAAGTGCTCAATGGTGGTGCGGAACTGGAAACAACTGCGGTAGAGCTCCTTGCCCATTCCTGTGTATTGGGCGCCTTGGCCGGTGAAGACGAATCCAATACCAGGAGCCGTTGAGGGTACTGGGGTATATGTCTCACGGTTTAAAGCACCATGCAGCGAGTCACGCAGGGATTGCAGGTTCGCTCCAACAGCAGTGACACGGAACGGATGGTGGATGCGGCGTGCGGTGGTCGTGTACGCCAGGTTCGGAAGAAATTCGGTTTCTTTCACTCCAAAGGACTTACCCTGAGCGTCAATAAACTTCACCAGGGCTTCGACGTTGTTCTTCAGTGCAGACTGTGATCTTGCTGACACCGAGACCAGGTGGAACGACCTGGGGTCCTGCCCCTGGCGTTCCGGTATGGGAGCATCTTCCACCAGAAGAGCAGTGTTACCACCAGCAGCAGAAAAGTTGTTGACAAAGGTTCGCCGCTTTCCGGAAGCCGGACGATTCCATGGAGTGGGCTGGAAGGCGATATGAACATTGCGCTTGGCCAAGTCCGTCGGGAAATTGGAATTGATTTTGGACTTGATACCGCAATGAGGAGGAATCATGTTTTCTCTCATCATTAGGAGGACCTTGACAAGAGCAGTCACTCCTGATGCGGATTCGCCATGTCCGATGTTGGCTTTGGCAGAGCCAATATGAAGCGATTGACCAGGACCCCGGCGGTAGTCTGGTGCGAAGACATCAAGAACGGATTGCATTTCCACTGCGTCACCGGCTTGAGTTCCGGTGCCATGCATTTCCACGTAGCTCACGTCCTTGGGGTCGATGTTCGCATCATTGAGCAGCTTGTTGAAGATGAATGCTTGCGCACCAACGTGGGGACGAGTGATTGACACGGCCTCCGCCGAGTGGTTGGTGTAAGCACCGTTAATGACTGCCAGGATCGGGTCGTTGTCGGCCTCGGCATCTTCGAGCCGCTTCAAAACGATGCTTCCAACTCCGTCCGCTCTACAGTAGCCGTCGGCACCGTCATCAAAGGTGTTACAGTTGCCAGTGGTAGACAGGAAATGGCCCCGATCCAGACCCGCGTGGTTGTCAGGGTTGGTCAGGATGTTTACACCGCCAGTGATGGCGGCGTCGCAGTCATTTCTCCAGATCGAATTGCAGGCCATATGGATAGCAGCAAGACTCGACGAGCACGCTGTGTCAACACTCACACTTGGGCCGCTGAATTTGAAGTAGTAGTTTATCCGACCCGGCGTAAATGCTCGGTTACCGCCAGGGATGAAATAGGTATCAATGTCCTGGCCGCTGTTGATCTCACGGTAGTCGTCACTAGTCATTCCGTAGAAAATACCCACACGGTCCCTCTGTGTCGAGGGAGAGCTATCCGGGATGAATCCAGCCATCTCGAGAGCCTCGTACGCTGTAAGCAAAGCAAGACGTTGTGCAGGATCTGCTTGGAGGGCTTCCCGGGGCGACATGTTGAAGAATCTGGGGTCAAACAGGCCGGGTTCGTTTATCCAACAACCGTAAGACACTTTACTTGTGTTTCTCTTTGACCCAGTCATGTCGACGTGGGCATCAACGTCCCAGCGGTCTGCGGGGACTTTGCGATGTACGTCGAGTCCCTTGTACAGGAGGTCCCAGAAGGCCTCCGTACCATCTGACTCAGGAAATCTTCCAGACATACCGATGATGGCAATCTTCGAGTTTTCTGCCTTGCCGGTGAGGTTCCGCGTTTCCGGGTTTATCGCAATCTCTCCTACCCCAGTCTCCAAGCTGATGCTCACACCAGCCTTCTTGAGGACGGTGAACAAACTCTGCGTGGCGCTACTTGAGATCGGAAACAATTTGCAAGAGTGGTTTTTGCCGGTCTTGCAGACTGATGTGCAGGACTCTGTGACCTTGTCCCAGCATAGTCGTCGGAGTAGTATCTCCTCCAGTGCGACCTTGAAGAGATCTTTGATGGACGTTGCCTTAATCGGCTTCCCAGTGTTGCTGGAGATGACGGGAATGGCGGGTGACCAGCCGGTCAGTTCCTCCAGAGCAGAGGATTGGTGCAGGATGCGTTCAATATCCTTATCATCATACAGATGTGGCGCATGGTACGGGCCATGAATCGGAGCCTTCACTGGCTTGTAGTTCTTGGAAATGCAGGTCTCGACAAATTCATCAAGGATCGTAGGTGGTGCACTGACAGTAACACCATTAGAGCTTACCGCGCTGATATACGGTTTCGAAGAAGGTGGAGTAGCCTGCATATGTCAGCACCCTACAATGCGGGGAATATTTTACGGGAGGTCACACCTTCTTACTGCTATACTCGTCGATCAGGCGGCTAGCCTCTGCTTCGCTAATTCCGGAAACCAACGCTGACCAGCATGTTGACTCGGAATCGGCGGAGGCCACCAGTTCTCGAACTCGGAAAACGCAGATTCCCAGTCGCAGTGCAATTACAATTGCTTCCACTGCAGCTGGAATAAGCTCACCAACATTCCTGGCGCAACTTACAGCCGTGCAACTCAGAACACCGGTGCACAGGCCAACCAGATGGCTGTTGGAGGGCGTAGGGTAGTCATGTCCAAGATCCCCATAAAAGCTGAAGGCTGGTCAGACTTGTCAAGTATAAGAGGTAACTAAATGACTTACTGAATAAAACAACCCAACTGGTAGATGCATGTCAATGCACTCTCCAGGACAGGGCTAGGGCCTGATTCACGGCTCCTGGAGAGGAGATCGACAATGCTTGTGAAGCGTGGAAAGAGCTTCCGTTGAGACGGCGACAGCTTTGCGATCTCTTGACGGATCGCATGGAAGCATTGCTGGAAAAAAGACTGGACAATGGTGCTGTTCTTAGCTTGGAGCAGACGGCGCAAGCCAGCTTCGATGTCGCTGGTCTGGTCTCCAAAAAGGTACACACGAGATGGACCCTCCATGTTTGCGGGAGATGTCTATTGATCAGTCAATCGCCGTTGTCAGACCAAAGTCCATCTGGCCTTCCCCATCCGTGTCGATGAGAAGCACACTTTATACACATGTAGATTTAGGGCCCCATGGCCAAGTGGGGGGAGGGTGTCTCAACTACGGCATGCGCTGAACTGGTTAAGGTGCATTCCACGCGCATCTAGGGGGCGATTGCAAAGAGTTGAACTCAGCAGAGCAGCTCAATTGGGTTGCATTGCAATACATGCAGCGAATCGTGATGTTGCAATTAGTTGACAGGCACTAAATTGTTCTGGTGAGCTTCCAGTGTCCTTCAGTTTCCCTTTCTGGGGACCCTTCCCACACTGACAGGGACTGCCTCTGAGTGGACACGACCATGGCGGTGGACCAGGAGCACACCATCTGGGCACTCTGTGGAGTTACCCTGTTTGGAAATTCTAGACTTGGAACTCTGGTCCATCGAGGCCGACATCCTGTGGAGCTACCTCAACCGTCAGGCCACAACGTTTATCAAGGGGATATCGGTGTCTCAACCCCTGCTTCTGGTGGTAATCGAGCAACTAGGCAGCCGTGTTCTGGAAATGCATCAAGGGACGGCGTTGCGATGGCGAGCGGCGGCCGTTTGGCGAGGGGGGAAGGAGTCCTACAGAGGAAAGTCGTCGCCGCCCTATTTGGCGACGATCAGCAGCTTGCAGCGGGCACGTGACGAATGAAGAAGAAGTCTGGGGTGAAGATTCTCCTAACATCTTTCCTCCCTGGGCATGAGACACAAAATTCCACGGGCCAGGCCGAAGGATTTCTCGCTTCGCCGATGTTATCGGTGGAAACAACGCAGAGAGACGCATGCCGAAAGGCCAGGCAGTCAAAATCCGTGCCCTGTTACCCTGCATGTACCTTGCGTTTCCTACCAACGAGATCCTCCAGAGTGTATGCTGGCTTATTCAACTTCCGAAACTCGGACTAACTAGTCAGCGAACGATGTCGAGAGAAACAAGGTTATTGTTGCTGGAATGTAGTCAGTAGTGGTGGTGACATGACATGCTCGAAGTAGCTTGACCGACGGATCATTCTTCCTGCCATATCTACACGGTCCTCGAGCACCGCCAGTTCATTTGCCTTGCTAGGGATATGGACTGATCTTAGTAGTTAGCGGATCTCTTAATATTCTGCAGGTGCGACTTGACTCTGCACCATTTCTCCTGGTTTAAAACTCCATGCATGTTGCTCGAATATATAATCAACATGGCGAGTACCATTAGGCTAGTATTGAGTCGTTCAGCTGGCACAGTACTTTTACTCCGTGATCGGACGACTATGATGGCACGGATCCAGGGGGTTATGCTGAATCAGTATCGTCCCAAATTCGCTTCGGCCATCCAACCCTCCATTCGAGTGGCGGGTCATGCTTGACATGTGTCCGACAAATGTCAAGGCTCAATAACTCGCCAGATAGCCAGGATGAAACCTTAACCACCGAGAATGTGTTCTAGACGGGTATTGGGGGCCACACTTGAGTCGCGTTGATAAAGTTCATAAGCCGTGCTGCCACCCTACGTTCCACTCGTGCCATTGCGGTTCAAACTCATTCTAGGTTAGCATTCTCATAATTATTCTTAGAGGTTAGTCAATCTTACAAATGATCAACAAGTGTCAACCCTGTTGCTATCATACCTCATGACGGTGAGCATGGCCAGGCTAGATAACAAAGAAGGGCTATTTGGAGAAGAAGCCAATGCAGGAAGTATGAATCAAGAGGCGGTATCCCTACGATCTGGCTGAGACATTGCCAAGGATCCCCCAAGAAGACTCCCAGTAGGCTTACCAAGCCTTCAATCTTAGTCATAGGAGCAATGCTTCGTCCCAGGATTTTGTGTGGGCCAATAAATATAGTGTGTATCCCTCGGCTAAGGTAAACCTTGACAAAGGAGGGAAATCCCAAACATGTCTCAAAGACATCGTATGCCTATCAAACAGGCTTAGACGTTGATGTCAGCTCTTTGGTTTTTGGAAAATTAAATCATGTCACGGTCCGCCAGACTATCACCTTACAGTCCTCCATAATCCGGGGCAGGCTAACACAGTCGACAAAGTTGCTTACCGTCAACAAGTGGCGCACATACTCGCTCACTGGTACCAGCCATCCCGGATGCGCGCCTCATTAAGGTTACTTGGCATGAGCCTCTCGTAAGCCTTGGTGGTTCTGTTGTTGAGGCTGCAAAGACTATTCCGAACTGCGTCCCCTTCCACCCATACTGGCCAAGGGGAACTTTTTCGGTATCATCAGCAGATACTCGGGTCAAAAGACATCACGAGGTCTTGAATAAAGTTCAATCCACACAATAGCGTGAAAGTTTCTGACGTATAATACTGGCTGTAGATGAGTGTAATAAAATCCCCGGTATAGAAAGCCAGTAGGCGATTTACTAAATTAGCGTGGTCGAGGTCGGGTGGTACTGTAGACCTGTGAGTGGCACGTGTATCGCCGGGCCCGACTGGAATGATGACCATCCACCTCACTTCGCTGTTACAGTAGCAGAGATAATTTTGATGTCTATAGAATAGCACATGCTATGAGTGACTGCGACGAAGAGGAGGCTATGGACGTTATTGGTACTACTCTTAAAAGGACTATTCTTTATTCCCTCTCTACTTCCTACCATTAATTGCGTACTACACATCATACAGATATACATACATATATATATCTACTACTAGCAATTCATTTGAGAATAGGACACTACGACCGATGATAAACTTTGCAGATAGCGGCATAGAGGCCGTACACGAACTTACTCCTCGTACGCTAGCCGCAATAAACTCGATCGAGCAGACTGATATGACTCCCCATGACTTGACCCGAGGAAGGAATTCTAGAAAGGACATCCAGGATACGACAGTAAGCTTCTTCGGCCGGTAGATCAGTTTCCTCGGATTTGCGATGCAGACAGTATCGACCCTCATTACCTCAGCCAAGCAAGGGGCTGCGGCAGCTGACCAGTTGGGTTGAAGGGATTTTGGCCACATACCAGGAGATGCCTGTGGAGTCATCGCTTGATGTTATAGTTTCCAAAAACCCTCAGGGTCTGAGTATAAAGTGAGAGAGTGGTTTAAACCGGTACCATCAGTTTGACAAACCTGGGAGCTAAGTGACAGACAGATTGGCTTATCGTGAAGAATACCATCGAAGGGAACACCAGAAGGAGACTCATATACTATACAGTACCTCAACTGTTTCGAAGGCGGGTAAATTCTGGTCTAGTCTCTCATATGATCCGCACTGGTTTCTCTCTGAGGTGGGTACAAAGTAGTTGAATTGCACCACATGTAGTAATCTAGAGATGAAACACAAGTTGATTGGCAACCCAGGGGTGAATGTTCTCTGGGTGGTACAGCGGGTAGCGGAGGTACAACCATGGATCCTCATCTTGGGGGGAGGGGGACCCCTAGTAGCCACGCGCGGAGTACCTTGGAGCTTCGTATGACCTATGGTTGATTCAGAATGAGTTTGGTTATTGGTATGTTGAACTGACATCATCCAGGGAACTGAGTTATAAAGGGAGAGAAATCGATGTAAACTCTAGAGGAAGAGGATAATACTAGTGACTAGCAAAGAGGACTGTGCGTAATAAGCTTATCGATAAGGGAGGGACTAGTCCCGAAACGGAGCCCACGTAAACACCAAAACATCGATCGGGCCTCACCGTCCAGTTTCCCTTGAGTTCCAAGTCCATCTCTCTCTCTCTCTCGATCTCTCACTCTTTCTCTCCCCCTCCCTTCCTACTAGCTTCTCACTCTCTCCTCCACTCACTAACTTACCCAACCCCCCCCCCCTCCCCCCTCCCTTTAACCTAAAGCGTGTCGCATCCCACGCTGAACCTTCCGCCCCCCTTCTTCGCGTTCCGGCGTGCTACTCTTCCCTTGTTTTTGTTTTTCCTTTCTTGCCATGTGTTGGTCTACAGCTCCGTTACCCGGTCCTTAATGCTTCCGTTATTGTCTCTCGTTCAGCGACGGTGCGCTTGTAGCTATATTCGCCCTTTGACTTTCCTACCCCGTTGATACTTCGATCGGACCCTGATACTGCATCATATCGAATCTTCTGACACGTCAATTGCATCTCCGATCGTTTTCTCCAGCAATCTGACGTCCGCTCTGGCTAGCAATCAGCGGTGGTGGTAGTAGTCGATCTTCGGTCCGCTCGTGCTCGGTCACTTCAGCCGCAATGGCCCCCGCCGCACCCCAGCTCCCGACCCGATTCCCTTGCTGGTGTCGGGCAATATATTCATGGGGTGGGGAAACAAAACGCGACTTGGGATTTGTGGAGGGCGACCTCATTGAGTGCCTAAATGCTGGCGATGGTCAGTGGTGGATGGGCCGATTGCGGCGAGACAGGCGCATGATGGGGTTGTTCCCCTCCAACTTCGTTGAAGTGCTCAGGGAGGATTTCGTACCTGTGCAACGGTCAACGAGCCCCATGCTACCACCTGCCTCGTCGCCGATCACAAATCCAACTTCGGCTCCTAAGAAACAGAAAACGGTCTTTCGGAAGCCATTCCAAGCCCATAAAGAAGCTCTTGCGCCTTCGGGTGAGCTATCCCGGAGCTCGACCTCCTCATCGCCAGTGACCAGTACGATCCCGCAAACTCCACCCCGAGATGGCAGTCTTTCCTCGCGGAAGGTGAAGCCGCTACGCACCCCAACAACCGCTGTAAAGCATCAGAGCTCTTTATCGAGGCCCGTATCCCGGTCCAGGCCTTTGTCCCGTGCGATGTCCCCGCATCCTCCAGCCGAACCAGATCCTCAACTTTCGTCCACCCTCCCTGGGACATACATGGCCCGGTCAAGACCTCCCTCTCGCGGAGTGTCGCCCCATCCGCCAGACCCAGAACTCCACCTTCCTTCCATCCCGCCTGTGCAAAGTGCACCACGCCCCGGACCTCCTCCTCCTCGTGCAGTATCGCCAGCTCCTCCGCCAACAATCGATTACCAGCTTCCATCTCTCCCTCCTATGGAGATTGCAATCCAGAGACCTGCGTCTCGTGCAGCGTCCCCATACCCGCCTGATGACGTAGACCTTATGCCTCCTCAGGTTCCGAGACACAGCATATCTCTACACCGGCCCTCCTCGCGCGAAATATCTCCACTTCAGCTGCACGAGAGAGAAGACTCGCCGCCCCCGCCACCCCCACCACCACACAGAGTTGCTGTCAATCGTCAGCCGTCCATCGAACCACACGTTCCCACACGCCTGGACATGAATGACCGTTTTGTCACAATGTCAAGGACGCCATCACCGGCTGCCCATTCCGAGGGCCGCGGACACACCCCGTCGCCCCTTCGTGATGCGATGGAAGACGTGATGACTTCATTGGAGGATATGGGGCTGCCCCGAGGCGGACAGTCACCGTCGCCGCAGCCGATGTTCAACAACCCGTGGTCACCGGACGCATATGACAGCTTCCGTGAAACTCGGCCCGTACAAACCTCCCGTCGACCGCTAACCTCTCTGGGATTTGATGGAGACAAGGAGTACCATTATCATGGCAGTCAGACCCATAGAAATAGCGTCTACGCACATGATCCCTACATGGACGGTCCGCCACAACTGAACAACTATGTACAGAGGATGGAGAGTCGACTTCGGCAGATGCAAGAGCAGAGTCAAAGGGAGGCTGAGGATGCGCAACATTCTGATGAGGAAGCCCCACCGCCTCCTCCACGAAATGTACCCTACCATGCCCGGCATAACTCAATACCCGCCCAGTACCCAGTGGTAAGAGGACGGAGGTCCGGCCAAGATCTCCGCGGGGACTTGCTCAATCGATCATATACCAATAAGTCCAGCACGACTAACTCTTCGAGCGGGGTGCACAGTACGAGTACGACACAGACGGGAAGCACCGAGAGAACCAGCCAAAGCATCATGAGTGGGCCCTCAGCCGGTGGATTCAGCGCAACCAGTGCGGGTAGTTATGCCAGGAGAGGTAATACTCCGGCCGAGAGACCAAACACGGCAGTCGACACGTTCCGCTCGAGAGGCTTCAGCGATGTCTCCCGGGTGCCAAGGCCCGAAACGCCGTTGACCGGTATATCGTACCATTCCAGCCATAATACCTCTCGGCAAGGTGCGTCATCTGCCATACCCTGGTCGTCCGGTGAAGGCGGCGCAGAAGAGCCGACCGCTGTGTTCGGTGGCCTTTCCACACCAAAGGCCAAGAAGCCAGGGTTCTTCAAGAAGATCTTCGAGTCAGCGAAGACAGGCGCTGCCAACGCGAGGAGCAGCATCGCAGTCGGGCACAATGGTGGATCTTCATCGCCCACCAAGGGCAGAGGAATCTCGCCAATCCGTGCTCTGCAATCCAGCCGGGACTCTGCCCGCGAGATGGGGCCTGGCACCAGCGCCATCGATTGGGTACAAGTCCGTCGCGACGTAAACCGTGCAAGCTCGCCCAGTCGAAATGAGAGAATTGAGCGGGCTGAAAGATGCCAAATGATGGACCACCCTGTGATCTATTCGGTGGAGGAACTCTACGAGACGGCGGAAGGCGATGAAAGCATTGACGGCTTGCCGATCAGTGAGCCGACCAACTTCGCCAGTGTCAACCTGAATCTTGTGGACAAGAGCGCGCGTTTTGTCAACAGTCTTCCCCCGATGACGAATCCGGCGAGTTTAGCGCACGGGTATGTCTGCCGCCCTTATAAGAGTGATGTCCAGAGGCTGCGCGCCATCTTTACTTGGGTGAGCGAAAAGATCGCGTGGGATGACCCGGTTGAAGAGATCGGCATCGATTTGAGGCGGGTGCTGCAGACGAAAAGAGGCAGTCCCCAAGAAGTGGCCTATCTGGTCAAGGAGATGTGCGTGGCGGTCGGTCTCCACGCTGAAGCGATCAATGGGTTCCTCAAAGGCCCTGGGGAGATGTTTGACCTGGACGGCCTCTCGCGACCCAACCATTGGTGGAACTCGGTGCTCGTGGATGGCGAGTGGCGCATCATGGACTGTTCGCTGGCCAGCCCTACGAATCCGCGACGGAACCAGTTCGTCACCAATAACACTTCCGTGGCCGAAAGCTGGTATTTCCTGGCACGACCCTTGGAGATTTGCTATACGCATGTTCCTCTTGCTCCTGAAGAGCAGCACATCTGCCCGCCTATTTCACCAGACGTTCTGCTGACCCTCCCGGCGGCCTGCCCACCATATTTCAAGCTGAATATGCAATTCCCCGATTATGATACTAGCATCATCCGGATTGACGGCTTGGAAGTCATGCAGATTCGCCTTTCAGTACCCCCGGACGTGGAATGTGCGGCCGAGGTGGAAGCCCCAGCGTTTGCCCGTGACGCCGATGGTGATTTCTTCGAAAGCGGCGAAGTTGTGCGCAAGCGCGCGCTGGTGCAGCCCGACTGGGTCAGTGGACAGAAGCGGATTACGGTGAAAGCTATCCTGCCCGGCGATGAAGGACAGGGCACAGTCAAGGTGTACGCCGGCAAGAAGGGACTGATGCACTCCAGTCGTGATATCCCCCACCCGTTGGCTCTTGCCCTTCCCATGCTCCACAGCAGCGATAACCCGCCGTACGACTTTGTGTTGCGCCATCCGACCCCTCACGCTCAGCGACATGATCTCTACATCATGCAGCCGCAGTGTGCGAAACTGGCGGTCAACAACACCTTCGTTTTTGCTGTGCGCCAACACCCGGCCTCCCCGGCTTTGTCGTCCGGCAGCAATGAGGCTGGCGTCAGTGGGCGTGTCTCACCGTCGGTCTTCACCCGGCCTGCGAGCGCATTGAGTATGGTTTCCAGTTCCGCGGGTGGTTCCACAGTGTCCGGGGTGTCCAACGAGTTCTCCGCCTCAACATCGGCTATTTCATCCGGCCGTTCGATGTCCGGACGCGAAAAGCCGGCCAAGCTGGCGATTCAGTCTCCATCAGGCAAGATCCTGCGTTTGACGCGGAAGCCCGAGCATATGCTCAGCCCTCATACAGGCACGCACGCATTCACCGATGCTCCGGCAGACGGCAGCGTCTGGGAGACAGTGATCAAGATTGGCGAGCGCGGCGTGTGGCGAGGCTTGGTACTGGCCGACCGAGTTGCACGGTGGTGTGTCTTTTGCGAATGGGAATGTTACTGACCAAAATCCCCAACTGCCGGGCTTGCATTTGGGAACATTTGCCAAGCAAACGCGACTGTAATCTAATCTTTTATTTGTGTTCATCTACGGAGACTTCTTCATCGACATTTGTCTAATTGACAGCATTGCATCCGGTCCGGGACTGGCATCTGTACCAGGACATCATCAAGGGGCAGCAGGACGTGATCTACCCCTACATGTTACTACCATCATATTGAGGCGTTTCCGGAAAGACCATGATGGCGCCGGTGTTATTCTTTTTTCTTTCTCTGTTCCTTCTGGACTGTTTCAACAAATTTATTTCATTGTTTTATGCATTATGGTTTCTGAGTTATGGGGCATCATGTCTGATGATATGGCTGTTTGGGGCTTTATTCAATATGCAATGAACTTACTGCTACGATCTAGAAGCATGACTAGACTCGGTTGGTGCTGTGAAACAGGTCGGATACATTGAAATGGTTCTTTTCAGTTGTGTTGTGTTGTTGTATCTATTATGTGTTGTGCTGGAGCATTGTGTACTGGCTCACTGGTCATTATCCATCATCAATCGCAGTCAGTCGATTCTGAAGATAGATATAGAACCATATCTGATTTCGACATGGCTGGAGCAAAGCAATTGCACAATCAACCCAATTATATCCATCCATCTATATGTTCAAAAAGCTTATATACCCAAGAGATATACAAAGTAGATACAAGATTACAAAGTCTTCACAGCGTCCCTAATCAACGGCGCCACCTGTTTCCGACTCTTCGTAACATCCTCCTGCACCCAGATCCACTTCCTCCATGACTGGCCATCATCTCCATTCACATCCCCCAACTCACTACTCTGACTCTCCTCATCTCCATCCAACACCCTCCACTTCTCCAACCCCAACTGCACACCCGCCTGCTCCTCAAATACTTCCACTCCACGCACACCATCCTCCCCACGCGCACACACCAACAACTCCCGACAAAACTTCCCCTCCGCACCACTAAACGCCGTCATCACCATGACCACATCCAACTCCTCCCTCTTCGCATAATCCACCGCAGCATCAAGTAGAGCCCCCGTCCCGCCCGCTTTCCTCTCCAACCACGGCAACGACCGCACCATGGAACAAATCCCAATCTTCACCTCCTCCCCTTCCCCCTCTCTCTCCCCCTTCTTCTTCGAAGAAGAAGGTACTTCCCTCCACTCCTTATAATCCCTCTCCAAGACCTCGGGAACAGTCAACAAATCCAAACTCCCCTGCTTGGCAGCCACCACCTCCTCATAGAACTTATTATGATCCCATGGCTTACCAGCCGCATCCCCATCTCGATTCGAAATCGCATTGATCTTCGATCTGAGGAAACTGTACGCGAGGGTATCCGAGTCCGTGACCTTCTCCTTGGCGGTGAAGTTCGCCGTGTCGATGAGGATGGCGCTCATGGCTAGCTTCGCTAATTGGAGTTCGGATGATAGCTCCGCAGGGGTGGAGGTGGTAGAGGAAGTGCGTCGCCAACGGTCCATTTTATCCAACATGTTGACGACGAGCGAGGTGCATGATCCGGCGGGTTGGAGGAGGAAGGGCTGGTCTGGGTCTGTGATTGGGGCTAGGAAGTGTTCGTCGACGTGGTGGTCGATGCAGCCGAGGACGGTGAAGGTGAGGTTGGAGAGGGAGGGGAGGGAGCCTTGGCCTCGGGGTTGGGTGGAGGAGCGGATGGGGAGGGCGTTCCAGTCGACGAGGACCGCGTCGGCGGTTAATTGATTATTGTTGTGGTTGTAGTCTTGGAGGTGGGTTGCAAAGTCGGAGACGGTGAGGATGTGTTCTTGGAGAAGGGGGCCGGCGGACTCGGGCGTGTCGGACCATGTTTCTTCGTCGGGGACTGGGGGGTGCGTGGAGAGCCAGAGGGATTTGATGAATTCGGGGCGGAGACGGCGTAGTTCGGGACCTGCGGGGACGGTAGGGAGGTTGATTAGGGGGACGTGAGGCCGGGGATGGGCGAAGGAGGCGTAGACAATGGCGGAGATGATGGAGTCGAGGTCGGCGGAGGGGTTGCCGATGACGTAGATGGGGGATTCGGCGCGGGAGAGTCGGCCGGCGAGAAAGCGGTGGTGGATTTGGAGGGCTTTGGCGAGGAATTGAAAGAGACTGTGTTCGGGAGGAGGCATTGTAGCGGGTTTGGTAGGAGGGAATTGTAGTGAGAATGAGTTGGATGGGTTGTTTTGGAGTCGAAAATATAAGATGAGGGGATAATTCCCATTCGGGGAATCTCCGCCGCGGAGAGGCAGAACTTGACCGCCTATGGCATCATCAAGATATTCAGCTATTCATGGTATCATCTGGATATCAACATTGCATCTCTTCGAGTAGGATCCCTTTTATCTTGGTAATACTCTGGTATAAGTCAATTCCACTCTCAATTCGTCGTTTACTTACTAATCCTCAGGCTCCAGATATACTACTACTCCTACTACTCCAACTGAACCTTCCCAATATATACTCCGCACCACCTCCACTCCTATCCCAAACTCACAACATCACATTCACTCTCAACATCATAATCTCATATTGTCACCCTCTAAACTACTCTGCTATAACACAATGATCCCCCTCCCCACCCCCTTCTCCCAAATCCCCCGCTACCCCCTTCTCTACCCAACCCCCTCCCCCATCCACCCACTCCCAACCCTAACCAGAACCCTCCTCCAATCCCCATACACAACCCCCAAGACCACCACCACCACCACCACCACCACCACCAACAAGAACAAAAACATAAACACAAACATAAACATAACCCTCCACCTCAAACGCGAAGACCACGCCTCTCCCCTAACCTCCAGCGGCAACAAATACCGCAAACTCGAGTACCTAATACCGGACATTCTCTCCCCAGTACCAAAATACGGCTCTTTAGCACCAGGACCCGATCACGGAACCCTCACATCCCCAGAAAACCAACAGAAACTACTACATAATCACAAACAGAATAAAGAAGTAACCCTAGTAACCGAAGGCGCCCTCCAAAGCAACCACACCATCCAAGTAACCAGCATCGCGAACCACCTGAACCTCCCACGGCCGGTGATCATCCTCCACAAGGCGACGGGGGGCGGGTACGCCCAAGTACCAGACAAGAGCCTGTTCGAGAGGACGGGGAATGTCCAAGTTGCGAAGTTGTTAGGGGCTGATGTGAGGGTATTGGAGTCAGCTACTGTTTCAACATCCACATCCACCTCCACAAACAAAGAAAAAGAAAACGAAGATGTAGTCCACACCATCTTCAGCACCCTCCAATCCTCAGGCCAAAATCCCTACTGGATCCCCTCCGGCGCAAGCCTCCACCCCCTAGGAGGACTGGGGTACGCGCGCTGCGCATTCGAAATAGCGTACCAGGAAACCCAACCACAACCACAACCACAACCTGGTCCCTTCCCAACCAACCTCGGAAGAATAGACTACATCTTCGTGGCATGCGGCAGCGGGAGTACCCACGGGGGATTAATCGCGGGATTAAAGCTCCTCGAGAAACAAGAAGCAAAAGCACACTCCTCAGAAGCCACCGCCCACTGCCCATCCCGAAAGATCATCGGCGTGCTCACGTCCCCAACACGCCCACGCAGCTACCACGAGAACAGAGTATTGCAGTTTGCGCGACAAGCGGGAAGACTCATTGGGATTGAGGACGTGGAGAGGGAGATAACGATGGAGGATGTGCATGTTGATGAGCGGTTCGCGGGCACGGCGTATGGGGAGGTGGATGATGCGACGGGGGATATAGTGCGGTTGATGGCGAGGGAGGAGGCGGTGTTGTTGGATCCGGTGTATACGGGGAAGGTGGCGAGGGGGATGGTGCATTGGGTGAGGGAGGGGGAGGTGGGTAGGGATTGGGTTGCCAGGGGGGGAGGGGAGGGAGATGGGGTTGGTGTTAATGTGTTGATGGTGCATACGGGGGGACAGTCTGCTTTGAGTGCGTATGCGGATGTTGTGTAGATACATATTTGCTGTTGCGGTGGCTGTGTGGGTTGTAGATATTGATTAGAGCTAGTGCACATGGGCTGAGGAATAAGGTCTACTGTATTGAACGATTGTTGGTTAATGACACATCGAACGCGCTCATCGAGCGACTGACTAGAAAATAAAAATACTGGAGAAAGCGCAAAGATAGCAGTGTACATTGGCCTGAGAAAACAAAAGCCACCCCTTAGAAGAAGGAACAGTGAAATCACACACAAACAACTATCAAATAGGAATAGAGAAGACAGAAAAACACCACGCAATGCGGAGACGGACTAGCCAGGTCTCCGTTGTCTTCGTACACCGAAGTCGTACAAATCACAAACCACAACATAAATTTTAAACAGGATCAAGATCCCATCCGAGCGAATCGAAAAAGACTTTAAGAGCAAAACAGCTGGCATCCCAGTGAACAACAACACCGTTAACAATCCAGGAACAACACAAAGCCACCAGCAAGTCTGGAAACGCCGCAGAATGCCGTGTCATGCAACGTTAAAAGGTCAAGGAAAGAGGACAGTTTGAGAAAGAGAAATTCCGGACATCCCCATGAACCCACTAAACATACTATCGGTCAAGTGGTCGAGAAAAAATTTTGGACTATCGGTAGGAAAAGGTTCGATCAAAGCTCATCAGCATGGTCGTCTGCCTCGGCATGACCGTTGGTGTCCCCGTTCAATTTGTGATCAGGCGAGTCTGCATCAGGCAAGCCATCAGAGTCGTCCCCGTTGCTCACGTCGAGAACCTCAAGCGCCTCGTTGGCGTGCGTGTTCTCCATCAGCTCCGGTTCAGGTTCTTGGTCCGGATCCTGATCTTGGTTCGTCAGGTCGGCAAACACATCATCGAGGTTCTGGCGAGGACTGCTGTCGAAAGGATCACGGCTGTCCACATCCACTCCAGGAGGCGCGTCATTGTGGTCTCGGGTATACCGAGGAGAGCTGAAGAGGGACGTGTCTAAACCCTGATGCGGTAGTGTGGGAGAACGCGGAGGGAACGACGGCGAGTCGGCCGAAACATGAGGTAAGAACGCAGAGGAGCCTGGTGCAAACGCCGGGGTAGACTCGGTGGCAGGAAGTGAGTAGTTTGCAGAGAAAGGATACGGCGGGTTTGGAGCATCGGCCATCGGCGTCAGCGTAGGACCACTGCGGCCCGAATCCGAATTCGAGCCGTCGCCGGGCGTCTGGAGTATGGAAGGGCGGCCAGTCTGAGATTCGATTGACTTGCGCTTGGCAAAGTTAGGCTGCTTAGTGCGGAGGTGAGGAGGCAGGTCTTCAGGCCGCTCCACGCCGAGCTGAGCCATGATCTTCTGCTGCTTCGTGGGGCGGGGCTTCCGAGTGGAGAGCGACTGTTCCAGGATCGGCGGAGGCTCGGGGGCAACAGGCGCCCATTTATGGATCTCCTGTCGGAAGAAATTCGTCTCATATGCCAGGAGAACCTCCGCGCCCTCAATTTTCCGCAGATAGAAGATCAACGTGGGCACCTCCTCCGTAGTGGTGCAAGCAGCATTGGTGAAGCTGTGGAGGAAGTCCCGGAAGGTCGTGGCTTGGTTGATAATATTATCCAGGATCTCCTCCTCGTCCGGTTGGAAAGGCAAACCAGCAATCTCAGCTTGCCATTCCAAGAGATCCTCCAACTTGGGCCGGGCAGCATCTCGAGGAATCTTCTGGCGCCAGTCGCAGATCGGGCACGTGTATTTGTCAAATTCCTTGACCTTGCCCCTTGCAATCTTCAGACACTTGCCGTGGTACCTGCACACGAAGTAAGCATTGTATCCCCCTTCGAAAAAGCATCAACAAACTTACCATTCGTGACAAACCTCACACTCGATCATCATGCCAGCTTCCGAGTGTCTGCAGATGCAAAACACATCCCGTTTCCGCGACTTCCCACCACCCCACATACTTGGAGTGCTGGTACTTTCTAGCAAACCATCTGGGGTATTATCTCGCGATGCCGGTTCGACAGGCGGCCGACAGCGATCTTCCAGATCGAAGCAATATGAATTGCGCTTCTCGACATACTCCATATGTGACTTCAGGATGTGCAGCGGGGCATTCGCCTTGCCAAATAATTTTTTGCCCTTCCTCATCCAATCCTCATGACGCTTTTGCTCACGCTCAAGGTCAATCGCACCAGTGGGCCGGCTGTTCAACTCCTCCAGAGAATCCATGAGCTCCCGGACTTCCTTGTACTTGGGACGGTTGCGAAAATCCGGATCCCGGCTCCGGTCATACAGACTCTGGATCCTGCGCTGCGCTTCGCGTTGTTTGGTCAAGATTGCGTCTACAGCTGCCAGGGTATCAGGGGACACTGGGAACCGGGATGCCTGGGCAGACAAGGCCTCGAGTTGCTGGTAGTGAACGGCTTCTACGGACATCAACTCTTTGGCTTTTGCTTCCCAGGCCTCACCGTGGCGACACAGATCCTTGAAGTGGAGTAGGTGGTCGTTGGTCTCCGATAATCCTAGTTGCTCGCCGGCCTGGATGATTTCCTGACATTCCTTCAAGGTCAGGTACCGATCCCGTTTGCGACGGGCTTCCTCGTTCCATTTCATTTGCCGGAGTATGTGCTCTAGTCCCTCAACCTCGGGTATATCCACGTTGAAATTGCGCGCGGATTCCACCAGATCCTCGACTTCCTGGACCGATCGGATGTTGGGGTTCATGAGGGCAACGTTAACGTCCTGGCGGAATTTCTCGATCTCGCGGGTCTTCTCTTCCAGAGCCGCCATCTGTGGACAGTCGAACGACAGTTTATCAGCCTCTGCAAGAAGGGCGTAGATGTTTTCTACTCTGCGAACTTCACGATCACGTTCTTCCAGCTGCGCAGCTTTAGAAGTCCCCTTGCGCCACGCCTTCTCGTTCTTCCTCCGGTTCTGCTGCTTCCGGGTAATGTAATTGGTTGCTTCTTCAACCCATTTATCGCAACGCTGGACGAAAGCCGCGAGATCTTGGAGACCAGGCAAATGGTATGGGATTTTCTCACCTTCATTAAGTAGGTTATGAAGGACCTTCAATTGGGGCTTCGGCTCGTCTTCCAGCATTTTGTCGAGCTTTTCTCCCCAGGCCTCCGGGATCCTGGCGCGTTCCTGGACCTTTAGTACTAAGGCCTTCAAGGCATCATCACCTATTCGATAGCGCAGTGTGTGGTCCGGGCCAGTTAACCTTTGTGTTAGCGGTTCGCCACAACAATCATACGTTTCCACGTGGGGCAGGCACACAGTCTTCCCAGTCTTATGGCATCGGAACTGCGCTAGATAAGTATAGGCCTTGCAATACTGGCACTGATAATCATCCTCGGGCAGGTCTTCCTCCTCAACCACAAACTTGAGTTGACAATTCCCTGTAGCTGCAGGGTCTTCAGAATACAGGGTGCAATTGTGCGGAGCCAGCTCCCGATGTCGGGTGGCGAACGTCGCTCGATCGCTCAATTCCCGCGCGCAGGCACGCTGGAGTGCTGGTGCTAACCACTTGGCCGTCGTGATAGATTGATCACGAGCTGCAGCTGTCAAAAGAAGCTCGTCATGGGAGAAACACGGGTGTCGACGGAAATCTTGAAGGCGCTGTACCCCCATGGCACCCCAGGGTTCCCAGTCCGCAGGCGCAAAGTTGACAGCCTCGTTAAAGTTGAAGCCATGGTTGAACCCGGCATGGTATGCCTGCGGGAAGGTGATCACGAATTGACCCGCCCGCTGGTCCAGTGCATACACTCTAACACCGGCCTTTCTCAGTTGATCCGGGGGCATTAGCGTGACCAGCTGGAACAGAAGGTCGGGTTGGCCCTCAAACAGCTCCGGTACCGCCTGCCGCATGGCTTCCTCGAATGCCTCGGCATCCGCGCCGGGAATGCCGTACCAAGTCTTGGTGGCGCCAAAATGCTGGTAATTGGCCGAATAAGCATAATGGTCTTCATTGTGCCAGCAGAACGTCGAAAAGCACATGCCAACATAGACCCAAGGGACAGTCATGCCGGAGATGTCAGACTTGATATGGCGGAACAGGGAGTCTCCGTGGAAAGGCATCACGTTCAGATTCCAAGGATCAACCGAGTAGGGATCCAGCGGATTCCGTTCAATGGTGGGAAAACCACTTCCATGCGTGGTTGAATGGATATCTGCACCGTACTCGACCTCGACCGTCTCCGTCAAGCTCTCTACCAGTCGCCAGAATTCACGCTCAACATCATCCTCGGATTCACGTCGGTGAGTGTTGAGCACGGGGTCAAAAGGCATCTTGGAGGCGAAGTAGGTTTTCTTGAAGTTGTTCGCCTTCTCTTGGAACTGCTTGAGCGAATACACGCCACCCTCTTCGAAGCCAAATTCGCCGGTACCGACCAGGCACTTGGGGCAATGCCAGTCATACTCAGGGACTGTGGTCAGGGGTGGATCGAGACAGGATTTGTGATACCCATGATCACAACTATCACACACTAGAATCGACGAGCGTTCCTCCGATTTTCCACATATTTCGCATTTCTGGCTAAAGTTAGCACTGAGATAATGTAACAATGGAGAGTAACATACATCACCAGTCTTCCGGTGATCGCTCTTGCGTTGCCGAGGTGGTGCAGGACGCAGGAGGCTCATGTGTGAGCCCGATACAGTGGGCAGGGGCGCATCTGAGCAAGAATGGTTAGACAGCGACTACTACGTCTACAGTAAATAGGCACATACCTTTCCGAAGTCGCTTGCTCCGTCGACCATTAGCATCAACTTCACCGTTTTCAGCGTGCGATGCACTTTCGTGGCTGATCGCGCGCTTCATTGGCGGACCCGCATGGCCATTGGAAGCAGCGCTTGGATTGGCCGGATGCTCAGCGATACTCTTCGGGGTGAGAGAGCCATTGTCTGCTTCCCGCTTTACGGCGGGGCCACTATTCACAGCCACGAAAGATGGTGATCGATTGACGGCAGTGAAACCACTCGAGCCAGCATTCACGGGTGTAAATCCAGAAGCAATCGGCCGAGCAGGCTCGATGGGCGGTGTGGGCTTCTCTGGGGTTGCCTCGACCTCCTTTGCCGCACTTGGAGGCGCAACTGGATTGCTCGGTGCGGGCTGAGGCGTGGCTGATGGCGTGGCGCTGTCAAGTGATACAGGCTTTTTGGGCATGGGAGAATGGTTCGGGGACGGTGTATAAGGACCACCATGTTCCAGCTCCAATTGTTGCTGAACCCCGGGCTTGGCCACACGCAGATACTCTTCGTATGGTTGAAGCCATCTTTGATACGAATTCTTGAGCGATGTGGAGAGCGAGGACATGATTTTGCCACTGTAGCCCAAGTCGCGCCCAATCTCGGCCCATTTCTTCATCTTGCAGACTTGATCAAAGCCACCACGGACCTCCACCGCCTTTTTCAGTTTGTACAGATCCAGCGGACGCTTGTCGACGCTCGGGAATCGGTTGAGGTTGGTGCCATGTTGCTTGTGAAACTTGGCCAATTGATCGAGG